TGTTGGAAGAGAAGAGGCAAACCCATAAGTGCAGCTCTGGCTAGTAAAGCTAATGATGATGGTCCCACTTTTATTTTTGACAATACCTGAGACGATTCACAGGACAGTCCAATTATTTTACAATGGGACAGAAGAATAGGATAAATGATCTTCTGATCTTTATTCTTAATATGACATCACAATATGAATCTTTTGCAAGTAATACCTTCTGTGATAACTCATTATCGTCAAGATTATCAGCCAAAATTTCAGTCGTAAGATATGAAAGGATGCTATCTTCTATAATTTCCCTTGCAAGCATCTGAAAGATTAAATCCACAAGCAAAGCAGGTGCATGTTGAGCAGCACAAAAAAAAAAAAAAAAAAAAAAAAAATACACAGCTAGAAGCTCCACGAAGACAATCAACTGCAGGTCAGAAGAACATCTTGTAAAAACAAAGGAGTTAGCCAATATACCTTCGGATTTCCTCCCAGAATAATGTCAGTTCCCCTACCAGCCATATTTGTAGAAATGGTGATGGCATATTTCCTTCCTGCTTGGGCTATAAAATCAGCTTCCCTGGCAGCATACTGAATGAAGAAACAAACATAATATTAGAAATAGCTGACATCATTTGAACGATGTTGCTTTTACTATGAAGAGGGACGAGTTTCAGTATCACCTTGGGTCGGGCATTGAGGACATTGTGAGGTATACCCCATTCTTTCAGCAGTTCGGATAAATATTCAGAATTCTCTACACTGCAGAATGACGCTAACTTGTTATATAAGAAAAAATAATGTATTTTAAAAGTACATCTTCTTATGTAGTCCTCCTTGGTTAATTATAAGTTCTGACAACATAAACCACACTCGATAAAGAAATTCAACATGTACGTACATGTGTCAATGTTTTAAGAATATCGAAGAAAAGAGGAACTGAATCTTTCTTCTGTATTTTCTTCTTTTTATTGACATCAGGACATAGAGATATATTCTGAAATCCTGAATAAATATGCCTAAGTCTATGCATGCAAAAGATCCTGAAATGGTTTTACAAAAACCGGTTTAGTCACATGGAGCTACCTTGTTGTTCCTACTAAAACAGGTCGACCTTGCCCAAACATATCTTCAACTTCTCGACGAACATGTTCCCATTTACCCCGAGCAGTCTAGCATGCATCATACCAGATGGATGAACGAGAAGGCACACTTTATCTAAATATTAGCAATGAGACGAAAGTTGCAAACAGAAATCTAGTTTTAAGGATGCTTACCGCGAAAGCTTGTATTGGTAGATCGATTCGAATATTTGACAAATTTGTAGGAACTTCAATAACAGGTATTTGAAACATTTTCAAAAACTCTTTTTCCTACAAGAAGGTGAAAAAACACGTGTCTCAAACTACTTTGTGAAGTCAAGAACATGATACGAATGAAACAATTTAAGAAGGTGGGTCAAGTGTATCCCCATGTACATACTTCTGTTTTTGCTGTCCCAGTCATCCCAGAGAGCTTTGGATAGAGTTTAAAAAGTGACTGATAGGTAATTTGAGCCACAACAATCGAATCAGCCTGCGATCAAAGAGTTACCGTCATGAACATGAAAGTTTTTGAAGCATAATTTTTACATTACAAATTTACAACTTATGCGTCCGGGTGACAGACCTGAATCTCTAGACCTTCTTTAGCCTCGACAGCCTGGTGAATTCCTTCAGACCATCTCCTTTTATCTTCAACTCTTCCAGTCAACTGAAAAAAAAAATGAAATCCTTTATTTACTCAAATCCTCATACTTTCTTAAATAAAATAAGATACAAATGAAACTACATAACAATTACTAGCTACCTCATGTCAATTTATAACATGAAAAATTGAATACAATTTATGCCAAATCTACTTGTACCTCATTGATTATAAGTGCTTTCCCATCTCTCACAATATATTGGACATCCCGCTTGTAAAATTCTTTAGCTTTTAAAGCATTCATAACAAACCTGCAATAATCAAAATATTCAATAAACAGGGATCCGAAAAACAGCACTGAAGCTTTGCATTAAATATGAGAACACACTTATTTCGAAACAGGAAAAAGACTACTATCTGTAAGAACATGATAGGATTGTGAATATGAAAACAGATCCGAAACAGTTTCTTACTGGAAAATTTTATAAAATATTATAAGCGGATGCCCTAATAATCAAGATTAGGCTGTCTTCTAAGATATTCAGCATTATTTTATGTAAGAAAATGGTAGCCTGCCATTCTGTATTCAACCATAAGCCATTTACGAGCAACAACTGTACAGCATTTTTACCCCATTTCTTCATCAATAACTGGCCAAACATATAAACTATGACAGCTAAATCTTAGAAGTCATACTACCGAAAGCCAACCACCGAAGTTCTACATAACGATATGGAAGCACTGAGAATATCAGCAATAGTAACAAGGACATACCTTGCCCATGGATCATTTTCGTCCCATAAATCAGCCGTCTCAAGAGCCATTTCAGCAAGAGATATACCTTCTTCAGTGAGTTCCACTGAGTTTTCTTTCAGTTCAGCTTTGTAATGCTATTAACAAGATTTTTAAATATCATTTTAGGAATCCACTTCCTCAATTAAAAATTAAATGCTCGCAATAAAACAACTGAAAAGGAAACGAAAAGACTCACAATATCCTTTACGAGAAGTTCAGCCACTTTAGCAGCAACTGGATATCTTGCGGCATTTTCATTAGCCTATGAAAAAAAGTACAACAGAAAGGACCCATCATCGGTGAAATTGTGTCCGGAAGTTATTTTTTTTTATTTCTCTGCTGCATCTACCATTCTTAACTATATTTTAAATATAATTCAAATGCCTGAATCTCCAAGAATAATAAATTTCTAAGCTTATCAGAATGAACTGCATTACCTCACCACTTATCAGCAAAGGGTTTCTGCCTTCATCAATGAGGACTGAGTCCACTTCATCTACTATCGCAAAGTGAAATGGTTTTGGCCTGTGCATCATAAATTGTCACTATTGAACCAAAATAAGGAATGAAAATATATATGGGATCTACCATCTCATAACAAGTTGTTCACGGTTTGAAGTAAGGTTATCTCGTAGATAATCAAATCCAAGCTCCTGAGGTATGCAAAAATGTTGGTAGAAAGAGTTGAGAGATGAAAAAAAAATCTAATCCAAGTAGAAGATACAGTATGGATGAAATACTTACCGAGTTATTGGTGTATGTTATATCACAGCTATAGTTGAATTTTCTCTCTTCAGCTTTCATTCCTCTCTAATTATTGAATCCGTTTTAGAGTGAAATGCCATAACATTGCTACTTGAAAATCTAAAAGGTAAGATGCAAATAGTACCCGTGGAACCTACCTGAATGAGACCAACTGAAAGGCCTAAGAAGCGGTGAACACGACCCATCCATTCAGCATCACGCTGGGCCAGGTAATCATTCACAGTAACCACTGCAAATAGAAAATCAACACCAACAGTGTTAGCTAGATGTTAGATGATATATTCTTTATAGGTATATCATTTTCAAACAATATGTGGGAAAATTGTGGAAACCAGGCCATATATCTCACTTGCCTTCCTCAAAATTTTAGCAATTATCAAGTAGTAAGTAGCCAGAGAGAGTAAATAACATACCATGAACGCCCTCACCAGTTAATGCATTAAGATATGCAGCTAAGGTGGAGACTAGTGTTTTCCCTTCACCTGTCTTCATCTCCGCAATAGATCCATCATGAAGCACTCCTCCGCCAATTATCTGAAGCAGCAACTTAAAACGTTTATACCCAAAATCTCTCTTCAAGATAATAGAAATGCACCCCCAATAAATAGCATGAATTAGAATTTGAGAGTACAGATATCGACAGACCTGCACGTCAAAATGACGCATTCCAATCGTTCTCTTTGCAGCTTCTCGGACAACGGCAAATGCTTCTAGACAGGGAAAAACAAACAAACAAAAGTAAGAAAGTAATTGCATAGCTGTATTAAAAATGTATATTCTCAAGAGAAAAGTATTAACAAGTAAGATTTTGAGCAAACCAGCTTGCATATCTGCTAGGGAGTCCCCTCGCATTAATCTTTCTCGGAATTCAGCAGTTTTAGCTTTCAGCTTAAGGAGGAAAACAAACAAAAGTTAAAATACATTAAAGAATCATATCAAGAAATAAAAATCTCTCATGCATGATAAGTCAAACCTGTTCATCGGAAAGGCTTTGAATTTGTGGTTCAAGGGAATTGACAGACTGCACAAGACGATAGTAGTCCCGCACAACCCAATAATTCATGCTCGTAAAATCTTGTATATTCCTCTTCATACGACCCAAATTCCCCTAAAATATGGAAGAAAACGAAAATAAGTAAATAAAACATGAGGATAAGTAAAATACCACTGAGAATCTCGAGAAAGAAAAATTCACATCCCAAGCGCAGAGAAAGTATTTTAGTGATCACACATACACAATAATTTCCATGAGAGAAAAGAGACACGAGAAACAGCTAAAAGATACAGACGAGACAAATGATCGAACATTTGGTGTGCGTCAAGTACTGACAGAGTTTATCGTACTACAGAACTAAGAGTGTTGACGCACATCATACCATTAGGGAAGCAGAGACGACACAGCTTCTTCGAACAAGGTGACACCTCTGAATCGGCATGAAAGACCGAGGGAACAAAACACCAGATACGGGTTTTGTCCATGGAGACTGATTACTTCGAGACAAGAGGCAAGGGGTTGGCTGGCATGTATTAGGGCTCACAAAATTCGAAACAGAACCCATTATACAAATATTGCTTTGTTATAGCCACTTTCTCGTTGTGGTGGTTCCAGCCTCTGAAGAGTGTCTCCTTTCTCGTTCTTTGTTTCACTCCAAATGTTTTTGCCTTCGTTACGGTGGCGCTAAATTGATTGGCCCCAATATATAAAAGAATTATTTTTATTTCTCTTGAATAAATATTTCACTTTAAGTCCCTGATTATTTTAGACCCTTGCAATATGTCACTCAGCTTAAGAAATTATCTTTTCTTGTATTTGATTTAATATCAACGTATTTGCAAATTTGTGAATCACATATATACAGATGGGACGAAAAGATTCATATACACATGATTTTTTTTTAGATATACACAGCATCTATGGAGAAAACTAACTTATGGAAGAATGAAACTTCACGAGAAAATTGTAGTTTTTGTTAGCATCCACAATAGTATACCTGTAAAAAGGAGACAAAACTTATCTCGTCACAAACCATGAATGCAAAAAAAAGAAAAGAAAAATGCAGACAATTTGGACTAATCACCTTAATGGTTTTATCTGCAAACCCTGCAAAGAGCTTGCCTTCACAATATGACAAAGATGTGATTACTGATGCACATGGGATTGATCCAACGTGAGTACAGTCTAGTGATATCTCATCTCCTGACAATTCCTACAAACCGGTGTTCGGAAACCAATGTTAGGACTTAGGAGAATCATCCGGCATCAGATAGTGGGTAAATTCTTGATTTTCTTTTTCCAGTAAGATCTGTGGATTATTCGTCATTAGCTCGGGTATACAAACTAGTGGATTACCTGTACATTGATGGTTTTGTCCCAACCTCCAGTGAATAGCCATTTACCGTTCACGACAATGCTGAGAATTGCACCAATCTGTATTTTTGTAGACTTCATCAAAGTATCATCCCTCCATATCTGATGAAAGAATCATATAAGAGCCTAGGTCTAGAGACCGAGAATAAGATTGAAATGAAGCAAGTCAAGCTAAAGTGTTTTTTAAGGACAAATTTAAAACCTGTATATCTCCGTTTTGATAAGCTGCCACTAAGGTTTGATCGTCTGCAGCTAGAGACAGAATAGATCTCACAATACCTGGAGTCTCTTCCCCCAACACTGTCAACAAACTGTGGTCACTTAGACTCCACAATCTAACGGTTCCATCCCAACTTCCGCTGTATAGTACTCCATTTAGTACAACAAGCGTTGAGACTACAGATTTATGACCACTCATAGTACAAACCAGGCTTCCATCCTGTGACAACAATCATCTTCAATTTATAAAGGAAAATTTATCAAGAAAAGCTTTACAACTGTAAAGGAAAATTACTTACTTGCAATGACCAAGCTTTGATAGTGTTATCTCCACTGCCACTATACACATGCCCGTATTCTGAGTATGCCAATGCATGAATGCCAGTATATCGCCAGTCTTTTGGCTCGTACCACTTTCTTAGAGGCTGATCTTCCATAGGGACAGTGGTGCTCCATACAAAGATACCTCCTCCACCGTCACCACTGATACATACTGGTTTTGCTCCCTCGATGTGTATCACAGCCATTACTTTATCCTGATGACCTTTAAATGTATGCACATGGGAGAAGTCCTGCATATAGAATGTTATACATGAGCTAGAATTAGCGATTGTTACTACTCCTGATAAGGAGAAAAGTAAGTTGTAGAAACCTTGATTCTACAACTATAAGAGAACTGTTACCGAGCTAAAAAAACCTTGAACAAAAATCTATAAAGAATCTATCACTAACTTTATATATGAAATCATGATTGAATCTGTACCTTCAGAGACCATATAAGGATTGTTTTATCATATGAGGAGCTGAACAGAAACCCACCTATACAGAGAAAAGGGACATGAAGATGTATCATTAAAATAATACTCTTGGAAGGAAAATTGAGTATTATAAAATTGGTACAGTTTATAAAACAGTACACCATATTAGAAAAAGGTGTACCTCCAACCGCTAGAGCCGTGACAGAGTCTTGGTGTCCCCGAATGTCTTTAGATTTAACCTTTCCTTCTGAAAGTCTCCCAAGAAAATCTATGTCAACCTTACCCTCCTCTGCTTTTCCACCAGTTTTCATTCCAGGCGACGCTTCTTCCAATTCTTTTGATTCCACTTCTACCAGGTGACATAATTCACTTAGAGCCAAACAGAACTCTTTCCTTTTCCCAGGAATCTTCTTATGCAATCCACGCATAGAATTAAACCTAGGATTCATGACTAGGTCCCTGTTGCATTTCCATAGATCAGTCAAAACTGGACGAGCCTGAGGATCAATACAGCAACATTGACGAAGAATTTCAACCATCAATTTAAACTTCCCTTGGAGTTCAGATTCCAAACAAAGTTTCTCCGTAATACCTGTGTAGAGCACCAAGAGATCCTCAATACTCTCTTCACGTCCTTTTGCATCCACACTTTCAATCAGCTCCTTGGTAAACCGGTTTCCAAGACGAAGCTTAAGGAGAAGAAAACAAACTGGCCAAACATCAGCACTATATGAAACCAGAGATTTTGAGCTGTCATTTTTTACCAACATATTCTGTTCTTTCAACAATTCAAACAAAAACTCTGAGCTCATAAAAATCCCCTTCTGTAGTAATCCAACCAAAAGCGAATCCATTTCCGAAGCATCAACTGGTTTTCTCAAAGACTTAGTTTCTTCAGCGATAATGCGACACACATTCCTACCAGTTTCCATCAACTCAATCAAGTCAACATAAGCATTCTCAAATTCGTCAAACTTCACACAGGAAACGCTCAAACAGCCTGAGATCACCCCTTCCTTGTGCAGATTGAGAAGTGCCTCACATATTTGCATACCAACTATTCCTAAACGTGAAGCATCATCGTCAGTGAGACTATCGAATTCTTCCCACGGAAATTCAATAAGCTTCTCACCCACTAAATACAAAACCCCATTCTTCAAGTCACCCCACAAGCCAAAAACTTTAGAAACACCTCTCTGCATAATAGAGATGATCTTTTCAAGCTCATCTCTCTCCTCATCTTTCAACCCCCACAGACAACTCATCATCCTCTGGACATAACTATACTTGAGGACAGAATCACAATCATCAAGCTCGAACGAAGCAACCCGTAAAAGACTCACCTTCGAATCATTCTTCAGACTTCCAAATAAACGCGAAGATGAAGCAAGATCACTAATTTCACCCTCACCATTTTCTACGGAGACGGCGTCGTGCACTAGGATCCGATCCTTCCAAGTGGCGTAAAAGTCGTCAGACCATGATCGAGTGACAAATTCAACAGGTTTTTTAAAATTCCGACCAGATTCGAGCTTAATCTGAGAAACAGAAGGGAATAATCTGAGAAGATCGATGTTTTTGGGGAGAGCTGATGGTCCTTGAAGAGGAAACTTGACGAGAACAGTGCACGCAGGACATCGGATCGTATCCGGAAACTTCTTGGGAAGATTCGTTAAGCACTCTTCGCAAGCCGTGTGTCCGCAGGCGAGCACACGCGGAACTGAGCACTCGCCGTCGTACGACTGTAGACATACCGGACACTCCGGTGCCTCCATCACCTCTGATGATTCACTGAACAGCTGAGTTTATCCGACGACGTTTTACACTAAAACTAACACAGCGTTTAGTCCTGAGGGTAGTTCTGTAATACACATAATTTATCCTAAACCCCTTTTGTAATGGTATTAAAATAAAAATGTGTTATAAATTCTATATTTTATAACTGTGTTTTGATGTTTTATAAAATACGCTAATCACCATCAATAGATGGGCAGGTTGGAAAATTATATCGTATTGCTGGAATGCGGCTGTAATATCAAGATATCACAAAAGCACCAAAATATATATATATATACTATATGACTTATACATAATTAATTAAAACGAATTATTTTCCTTGATTAATGATTAATTTAATGTAATGGAATCGTTTTAGTTGATTTATTTTCCGATAAAAAATAAAATATAATTACGAAAAATATATAAAGGTAGGAAAAAAAAGGTAAGGTGGGAATTTTAAAAGCAAAGCCACCTGTCTCTCTGACCCACCCATTCATTTTTTGAGAGAGATTAATCAATCGTCGTCTTCTCCACACCGTCGGTGCGGTACCTCATCACGGATCAGTTTCTAGAAAGAGAGAGAAAGAGAGAGAGAGCCGATTTTGTTTTTCTAGATTCTCGTCCATTTTTCTCTCCTCCGATTTACCCTCTTCCCTATTCTAAAATTCCCCATTTTTACAAAAGATCCGTGATTTTTTTTGGTTTTTTTTCCTAGGATCGATCTGATTAGGGGTGTCTTTTAACATAGCTTGAACTTTTAGGGAAAGCGTGAAATTTTTTTTTTTATCGATTAATCGGCGGAAATGGACGAGTTTGGTGTTCTTACGGAACGTTACGGGATTAAGCCTCAAGGTAAATCTGCTCCGATGGCTGCTTCCAAGCGTTCTGGTAATAATAACCCTCCTAATAACAACAATGCTCAGAGCTGGAATTTCGCTACAGCTTCCTCCTCTGGTGTAAATGGGAAATCGAAATCGACCTCGTTTTCTGGTAATGGGTCTGTGTATGATGGTGACGATATTTTCTTTACCTCGAGCTCTACTAATATTAAGGGTTCGAATTCTTCTAGTGGGTTTGACGATTTTGATGTTTTCTCTGGGTTGAGCAAGTCAAAATCCTCTTTGAACGATAATTATAGCAAGTCTTCTTTGAACGATGATTTGTTGTTCTCCAATTTTGGGAATTCGGGAAATAAATCTTCTTCTCCCGCGGCTCAGGGTTTTGATGCTGATGACTTGTTTGGTGGTGTTATGCCTGGTTCGAATAGCTCTTCCGGTGTTAAGAATGATGATTTGTTTGGCTCATTCGCTTCATCTGAAAAGCAATATGCCACTGCCGTCGATGATCTGTTGGGTTTGGGGAAGAATGCAGCTGGTTATGATGGATTGATTCCCGGTTTTGGTGGAAGTACTCAGACTACTAGCAGGTTTGCTTTCGGTTTTAGTTTCCATCACATCATTCGATTTATTGTGTGAAATTTTTATGTCAGTCATGTATGGAATGTTCTAATGGCTCGTGAATGGCATTTGATATATCAGATCATATTTTTGTACAGGAAATTGCTCAGTGTTATGGTTTGAATTTTTCTGTTGTTGAGATATTTTGTTTTTGGTTGATTTTTCAGCAAGACTACCACATCGAACTTTGATGCTGCTGATCCGTTTGTGGTTCTAGAATCAACTACGTCTGCAGCACATTCTTCTTCTGGTCTGTTCGTGGATCCACTTGAAGAATTTGCTGCTTCTGTCAGTTCTCAGGGGAAAAAACCATCAAATATTTCACAGACTTCATCAAAACTTAAGCCTCCGCCTAAACCAACACAAAAAGTGGACAGAGGTTGATCTCTTTGATGAGTTAAATATATGTTGAATGAAAGTTTTTGTTTACCGTCTTCACTGTGCCCTAACTAGTTAAGGAATTCTTTCCACAGTTAAGAGTTCAGGAATGTCTTCAATAGACGAACTTGAAGACTTTGCTATGGGTACTATGCGACGTAGTGCCTCTGCTTCCGACACTGCTAGTAAATATAGAGAAGCTGAAGATGCTGGAACAAAGAAAAAAGAATTTGGTGTAGATGACCTTGACTCTTTTTTCAGCGCGGGGCCTCGGTCCAGCAGTGTGCCAAAGTCACGGACTACAACTGAAGTAAGATTGACTTTCGAGATATTGCCAAGTTCCATTTTATTATAAGAAAGAAAATGTTTTCTATAAGTGTATCCTTATTTTCTTTCTGATGCACAGACAACTCGCAAGCAAGCATTCAATGTGCCAAAAAAGACGGCTAATGGGGTTTCTAGTGTAAAGAAGCCTCCTCCTCCAGCAAATCTGGTGGATGACTTTTCTGCACTTTTTGGAGGTATATGTTGTAAAAACATGTATATTCCAGCAATTGCTTACTTTGGAGTTAGTTTCTAATAAATGTTTCCTTATCTTCAGAGGATCCTATGTTTAAACAATTCGAGGAAATCCCTGGGGAAACCGAAGAAAGAAGAAAGGCCAGATGGGATCGTGAACAGAGAACAAAGAGCCGTGTGGTATGTGTGGTTATTTTTGTTTTCTTTCAAATCTTCTTCTGCAACCCTTGATTCTTTTCCCTCTGCAACTGATGATGATATCTCATTTAGCTTAGTGCCGCTGTGAAAATCTATGATGATTTTTTTATGCTTGAAAGTAACCCCTTCACATTCAAAAGTTTAGTTAAGTTCCCTGCAGAATGTGTTTTGCCTTCATCAGGTTTTCCTTTATTTGATTAGATCTCCTGCTAACATGTCAAAATCAGCGCTTGTCATAACTGACTGGCTTGCTGCTACCAGTTTCTAGTTTAAGTTCTAATATACTTATTATTGCTGTCAATATTTAGCGTTTACTTGATTGTATATTTTGGTTCTAGATAACTTTACACATTTCAGTGCCTTATAAAATGTAGGCACAAGCTGTAGCTGATATGAATAACCGTGACCATCAATCTCGGATTGAACAAGAACAGAGAACTGTGAGTAATTCTTTTCTTGTCATTGAATCAATGAAATTGATGTTTGAATCTTCATTATCATAATACTTACTTATGGACAGTGAACATTTTTAGGTTTGTTAGTCTTCACTATGATAATACTGTTTTTGACAGTTATATATCCTTTCGTGGTTTTGTTTTTGAAATCTACAAATAGAGACTCTTTGTGGTGTGTTTCAATACCAACGATGGCATTCTTGTTAATCTTGTCTTTCAGATGATTTCTGAAACTGTTGATTCTGAGATAAGGCGATGGGCTACTGGAAAAGAAGGAAACATGCGTGCTCTGTTATCTTCCTTGCAAATTGTGAGTTGAAATTATGATATATAATTTAATGTTCTGTTGCATCTGTCCATTCATGTGCTCCTCTTGAGTTTACTGATATCCGGTTTCGTTTGAACGATGACAGGTACTCTGGCCCGGATGTGGTTGGGAGGCCGTTTCTCTAACAGATTTGATCACTTCGTCAGCAGTCAAGAAAGTATATAGAAAGGCAACGCTGTATGTCCATCCCGATAAAGTTCAGCAAAAAGGAGCCACGCTTGAACAAAAGTATATAGCCGAAAAGGTTTTTGACATTTTGAAGGTAATTTCTCAGTGGATCAATCTGAGCAGCTCTCTTTCTAGACTCTAATGTAGATGAATGTTGACAGAGTAATCTTGATGGTTTAGTTCCCTCCAAATAGATATCGGTAGATTCTTCATTGAAACATGTTTCAAAAATAATAATTGGTTGAAAGTGTCACTATGCTCGTAAGTTGAAGAAATCCGGTTAAGTTTCTCGTCTCTTTCATAGATCCACAAACCTTACCTCATCACTGATTTTGCATTGTACAGGAAGCTTGGAACAAGTTCAACAAAGAGGAGCTCTCATAATCCCATATGTCGTGGATCTAGCTGCCTCCATTTCAAGTTTGCTTGAGATCGACCCTGAAACGGGACTGATTACTTCTAGCAATGGATGATTAAGAGATAGAGACACATGAAGAGACTTAGTGCTTGTTTGTTTGCGTCTTTGTGCCACATAGTTTGTCTGTGAGTTTCTTTCTGTCTTTTCTTGTTTTTAATCTTCTTATCTCTAATTTTTCCATTGGCAATAACTTGTGATACTTGTCATCTTTCTGTACACTCAACCAAAAAAAAAAAAGAAAAAAAAATCATGGGGATGATATTGTGTAGCCCCAAAACCTCAATAGATTATATATATTTTAATGTTCTTATTATAATTAGCTATAGCGTCGAGATGAACCGCTGATGTTAATTTCATTTCCATGGAATAACAAAATGCTTTTGTTGGTATCTTCATCGATATGAATATTTTGGTTCATAATTAGCTTTGTAGCTCGATATATATATGATATTGATATATATATAAAGTTTTGGGGTTAGTATGATAATATATCTTTGTAACTCGATAATATATAAAAATCAAGCTATGATTGGGTTTAAGCAAAGCTCTACACTAAATAAATACCGACTTCGTTAAGATGAAAACTTGAAAGAACCTTGAGATATGAATACATCCATAAAGAGAAGTAATAGCAAGACGGATCCAAATTACGACAACTAGCATACGAAGATAATACTATCCAACCCATAAGAATCCATGGAACCAAGTAGACAATTACGACTTTGCTGCACCATACACTTAATAATTGGAGAGATGCATCTTCTAGGAATATTTTAATTTTCTTAAAGATCAGAGCTGTTCAAAACAAAATATATTTTCAGTAGCGACATTACGACACATAGTACTTATAAAATCACATAGGTGTGAAACAGTGTAACCTGAAGAAATGTTTAGAAACTTGGGGTAAAGCATATATAACTATATGTTTTTTATAATTATCATTACTATATAGTTTAGTACCTTCGCTATTTCAATGTGATTAATTAAATATTAGAAAAAAAAAACATACTAACTTTGTATGATTTAAGTACACTCAAATCTTCATAATTTATAAAACTAGAAAAAAAGTAATAATCCAACAAGGAAATGATAATACACTCTACAGCTATATTTACTGATAAATAAATTTTCACTAACAATAAAGTACTAGAATCCGCCATATCTTCTACCATTTTTACTACTTGTGAAAGTGATATTTCATTTGCTATATTCTTTTCCCAAAAGATAATTAACTAAATAAAACTAAGCATGTATGAATTTTGATTGAAATCGCTAGAAATCAGATTTATAGCAATATTGAAAAATTATGATATATATTTTCCATCAATATTCCAAGATTTTTATTTGCCTCAAATCATCATTACATCTAGATAGTGTCAAGATACTACTGTCTCGGAATGGTTCAAGTGTATGCTCATCCTTCAATTCAGATTGATATTTTCCCATTTCCAAAAATAAAAAGAGCTTTTATCATATCAATTATCATAACCGATAACAGAAAATATAGATTTTTATCAAAACATAAAGGAAACAAACCAAACCATGGCATGATTTTTTCTTTTATTTAATAAACAAAAATAGTAACTTCCCCAAATGGCTAAAATCAAAAGCCAATTTAATAGTCAACCTACGTGTCAATATCAACCACGTCATCACTTTCACCTATAAAACGTTCCCGCCCACTTGCATAATCCCAAAACAAAGAAGAGTAAACCATGAAACTAACCAACTCCACTCTCTTCTTCCTCATCTCTCTCTTCTGTTTATCTCCAGCTTCAGCTTCATCGAGCAAGCCTCAGGTTTCGGATGGCTCCACCATCTTGTTCACGACGATAGGGAGACCCACTTTCGAATTCGACATCTTCACCCTCCCCACAAACAAACGTCCACCGTCTCCCGCCGATGAGCACCGTCTCACCGATGGCACATCCATTAATTTCAACGGCCATTTCGCTTCTCCTTCACCGGCGCTTATCTCACTTCTACCCAACAACTCTCGTATTCAACCACAAGACTCGTCTCTTGTACATCTCATCTACGTTACCGAGAGATATGGAACTCCTACCTTGAACTACGACGTCGTTCATAACGATAACTCCGGATCTAGAGTTCGGGTTCCGTTATTTTCCGGCGAAAACCAACATAACGGCATGAGTGTAAACTCGATGAAAGATAAACCTGTTTTGAGTAACAAGTATCTCGTCTACGTGTCGACTCATGAGAACCCGGGTAAGCCAATGGCGAGTTGGGCTGCCGTTTACTCGACCGAGTTAAAGTCTAAGTCGACTAAGCGGTTGACACCACCTGGCATCGCTGATTTTTCTCCGGCTGTGTCTCCGTCTGGGAAATGGACCGCCGTGGCTTCGTTCGGAGAGAAAGGCTGGACTTGGAGCTTCATTGAGAAAGCGATCGGTTCAGACATCTACGTTTTTTTGACTCGTGATGGGACTCAGCGAGTCAAAGTGGTCGAGCAAGGTGGGTGGCCGAGCTGGGTCGACGATTCGACTATATATTTCCACCGTAAAAGCGACGACGGCTGGATCAGCGTGTACAGAGCGATTTTACCCAAAACTGGACCGGTTAACACCAAATCGGTTACGATTCAACGAGTCACACCACCTGGTCTTCACGCGTTCACACCCGCCGCGTCACCAAACAACAGCGACTTCATCGCGGTGGCTACAAGGAGGCCAGGATCAGACATCCGCCACGTGGAGCTCTTTGATTTAAAGAAGAAGGAGTTCGTCGAGTTGACTCGTCTCGTATCGCCGAAGAGTCATCACTTTAACCCGTTTCTCTCCCCTGACTCGTCCCGAGTGGGATACCATACCTGCAGAGGCGACGCAACTGGTCGGAAAACTCCTCGTAACCTCCTCCAGAACATTAGAACCACTTCCAACGACCTTTCTTTGTTCAGATTCGACGGTGCGTTCCCGACAATCTCACCTGAAGGTGATCGATTCGCGTTCCTCTCTTTCAAAGGCGTTTTCATTGTGAAATCAGACGGTTCAGGTCTACGTCAGATACTTCCACAGATGGGATTTGGAACAGTCTGGGATCCGGTTCGACGTGGAATCGTCTACACAAGCTCAGGTCCCGGTTTAGCTCCAGGGAAATCTCAAATCGATATTCTCGCTATTAACGTCGATGCAACAAATCCATCAACCGCCGTTAAGAAACTCACAACCTCCGGTCAGAACAACGCGTTCCCATGGCCATCACCTGACGGTAAACGTATCGTGTTCCGTTCTGCTCGGTCCGGTACCAAAAACCTTTACATAATGGATCTAGAGAAAGGTGAATCCGATGGTTTGTTCCGGTTAACCAGCGGAAACTGGAACGACACGATAGCTACTTGGTCACCAGACGGTAATTGGATTGTGTTTGCATCGAACCGGGAATTCCCCGGTACGTTGTTGATGAATTTGTACGTGATTCACCCGGATGGAACCGGTTTAAGGAAGCTGGCGCAGAACTTGACCGGTGGGGTATCGATGCATCCGATGTTTAGTCCCGACAGTAAGAGAATCGTGTTCACTTCCATTTATGCTGGAATCTCCGCGGAGCCGATCGCTACTCCGCATTTCAACGTACCGAGTAGTGAGATCTTCATGGTGAATTTGGACGGCTCTGGTTTGACGAGGCTAACCCACAACTCATTGGAAGATGGACCACCCATGTGGTTCCCCAAGATCAAGGCGACCGGTGATGTGGCTTGGCCTAAGAGGTTTGGGCCTAGCTGCTCTATCGAAGATTTCAAGACGCCCAACACGACCGGGAAAATGGAAGTGAATAAGCGGGCAACAATGTCAATGTGTGTTGTTCCTTCGCAATGATTCGTTTTGTAGAACAGTAGAAGTAAGTAACTTGTCAAGATGATATATCGTTTCAAGTATTGGGGTAGTTTATACAAAAACAAAACAAAAAAGTATTGGGGTAGCGTAACAAATAATATTCCTTGTAACATTTTCAATAATTTTTATAATAATACCAACATTTCATCTTAGAAATAAAAGAATCAACGGTTGCAATGATTGTAGTGTGCACCATCGCCCATGCTAGATGGACCAACCACTATTTTCTGAATACTGTATGTGGATAATTCGTATAATACAAAATAATATACTTTCGTCAGAAACGTTAACAAGTACAAATTCCACGAATGGTAGCCAGGTGTCAACTTATCTCCTACACCACCCTCTGAAATATTCCTCCGCCATATAAACCTCTGTTTATCGTCTCAACATCGTGACTAACCATAGACCAATCCGCCATGAATATTGCTCAGATTCTCTTCTTCGTATCCCTTCTGCTTCCGCTTCACTCATCGACGACGACCGAACAGCAAAATTCTAATGCTGGTGGTGATGGAGATACCATCATATTCACCACTCTAGGACGATCACGCTACGAATTCGACATATTCACCCTCTCCACGGCTCAACCACCGTCAGTTTCCGGTGAGCTCCGCATCACTGATGGAGCATCGGTAAACTTCAACGGCTATTTCCCGTCTCCTTCTCCGGCGCTCATCTCTCTTCTACCCGATGAAACACTATTTCAACTAGAAGATTCGTCTCCTCTGCATCTCATCTACGTCACCGAGAGAAACGGTACTTCTAGCGTATACTACGATCTAATATACGGCGTCGATTCTGATTCTATAAATAAACGACGATCGATGTTAGAGGCACCGTCTCGAGTCCAAGTTCCTTTATTATCCGGCTTCGATCAACCGAGTGGCATGACGGTAAATTCGTTTAAAGATAAGCCTAGTTTGAGTGGTGATTTTCTCGTATACGTGTCAACTCACGAGAACTCAGGTAAGCCTAGGACTAGCTGGACCGCTGTTTACTCTACTGAGTTGAGAACAGGGCTAACCCGACGGTTGACGCCGAGAGATATAGCTGATTTTAGCCCGGCGGTTTCGCCTTCCGGAAATTTTACGGCGGTGGCTTCCTATGGAGAGAGAGGCTGGACAGGGGAAGTTGAAGAGCTAAGTACGGACATTTATGTATTCTTGACTCGGGATGGGACTCACCGAGTGAAGGTGGTGGAGCACGGTGGTTGGCCGTGTTGGGTCGATGACTCGACTTTGTATTTCCATAGAAGAAGCGAGGAGGATGGTTGGATCAGTGTGTACCGAGCGGTCTTACCTGAAAACGGGCCGTTGACTACAGAGTCAGTGACAATTCGGCGAGTCACCCCACCGGGAGTTCACGCTTTCACACCGGCAACGTCACCAAACAACCATAAGTTCATAGCTGTGGCGACGAGGAGACCTGGCTCGGATTACCGCCACGTGGAGCTGTTTGATCTTAAGAGGAATGAGTTTATTGAGTTGACTCGTTTGGTGGCGCCGGAGAGTCATCATTTGAATCCGTTCTTGTCCCCTGATTCCACCCGAGTCGGATACCATAGTTGTAGAGGCGAGGCTAATGGACGGAGAAGTCCTCTGCTCTTCCTAGAGAATATTCAAAGCACCACAAAGGACCTTTCTCTCTTTAGAATCGATGGTTCATTTCCATCCTTCTCACCAGGGGGTGATCGTATCGCATACGTTAGAATGCCTGGTGTGTTTGTGGTGAAGCCCGATGGTTCAGGGAGGCGTGAAGTGTACAATGGAATGGCGTTTTCGACAGCTTGGGATCCTGTTCGACCAGGAATCGTGTACTCTAGCTCAGGTCCAACGTTTGCTACAGAGAGAACATCGGTCGATATCATCTCCATTGACGTGGATGCAGCTGACAAGTCTTCTTCCGTAAGGAGGCTAACGACTAACGGGAAGAACAATGCTTTCCCATGGCCATCTCCGGATGGTAAACTGATAGTGTTTCGTTCTGGGCGCACTGGTCACAAAAATCTTTACATAATGGATGCTGAAAAAGGCGAAAGAGGTGGTCTATGGAGGCTAACCGAAGGTGCGTGGACCGACACAATGTGTAACTGGTCACCTGATGGTGAATGGATCGCGTTTGCATCTGATCGAGAAAACCCTGGCTCGGGTAGTTTCGAGCTGTTCTTGATCCATCCAAACGGAACAGGGTTAAAGAAGCTTATCCAAAGTGGGACGGGAGGGAGAACTAACCACCCGGTCTTTAGCCCGGACAGTAAATCCTTAGTTTTTACATCTGATTATGCTGGAATCTCCGCAGAACCGATCTCAAACCCGCATCACTTCCAACCATATGGTGATATCTTCACGGTGAAACTGGATGGCTCTAATCTGAGGAGGCTGACGCATAACTCATATGAAGATGGAACACCAGCATGGTCCCCTCGGTTCATTCACCCTGATGATGTGGTGCTACACAGGAGGAATGTTTCGAGTTGTTCGTTCGATGACTGTCACTGGCTCAGCAAGTACCCTACACTAAAAGGCCGAAAAATCTCTTGTTGATATGTACACACACTATAGTATATGGTTGCAGACTGTTGAGTATTAGAGTATCCTTTTTCAAAATCAGAGATGTTTCGCACCTCTGTAACTTTGGTTATAGATTTGTATGGAACTGGCAATGTATATGGACAATAAACATATTGAATAGTACTGGATATATGCATAAGAGTGTATATCATATTTCAAAAGGTGATTTTTTCTACGTAATCTGTCGATAAAGATATCAGACACTCTTTATGAATTGGAAGGTTTATGGCGGGAGCGGGAAAATCGCGAAAACGTCGTACAATGTTTGTAAGAAGTCTCCGTCACACTGGCTGAATAGGGAAGAGAAAATTTAAGGAAGAGAAAATTTAACAAAAAGGCGAAGAGAGGAATGGCGCCAGTTCTTCAGAGCTCACAGCCATGGGTTGAGAAATAGTACGGTTTCTTACTGATCTTTTCTCCGTTGACGGAAACTGTATCGGATTTTACTAACTCATTGTTTCCGATTTGGTTTCAGCCGGCCGAAGCAGGTTAAGGACGTGGCTCACCAGGAAGAGGTGGTTCGGGTCCTCACCAACACTCTCGAGACGGCTGATGTAATTTCACTATAACTCTCTGCTATTTTTCAAATTTCGATTTTGTGCATTGGGTTCACCTTCGGATACACATATGAAAACCCTAGATGTCGAATTTGGCTCTAAATTCTGGGTTTTTGATTTTCCTTTTGTTTCATGTTGTAGTGCCCGCACATGCTCTTTTATGGACCGCCAGGAACCGGAAAAACCACTACTGCACTTGCCATCGCCCACCAGCTATTTGGGTACTCAATCATCTGATGCTTTTTATTTTAAGTTATGCAGTAGTGTGTGCACTGGTCACTGCACAATGATTGATTCATTAGTGTGTGTTTAACTTGTATTAGACCTTGTGATCTTGAATATGATACATTCAACTTTGTGATTTAGATAACTCGAAAAGTGATGCAGATGCTGAGATAATTTGAACTCTCAGTCTTTGTGGTTGCATAATGATATACCAAGTTGTCTCACTAGGTAGCTAGACGGTATATTAAGATGTGGAGTCATAATAGCAGTTTATATTGTGGTTTTGCTATGTAAGTGTTTATTCGGTTTTTATGTTCAGATTGTCTCCTCTTTCTAGCAAATTGAAGCTAATTTACTTGTTGTCTCATATGGATTAGTTTCAGCTTCTTTTGGTAGTGATATTACAAATGTATTTTCATGAGACTGTCATTGTTTTGTTATTTCATATTGTTGTGATTGCAAGGTCAAATTCTGTGGATTTACCATGGGGATGTGAAACTAACGAAAGATTTTTTACAGACCTGAACTATACAAGTCTAGGGTGTTGGAGCTGAATGCGAGTGATGACAGAGGCATTAATGTTGTTCGGACAAAGATCAAGGATTTTGCTGCTGTTGCTGTTGGGTCTAATTACCGTCAAGGGTGTGTAATTCTTGTTTGCTTTTTGTTAAGTTTTTTTTCTTTCTAATCTGTCTGCGGTTTTCATTTCCTCTAAGACCTACAATTTGATTCTTCAGCGGTTATCCATGCCCATCGTTTAAGATCATCATTCTAGATGAGGCGGATTCGATGACAGAAGATGCTCAGGTATATGGAACATCTTTCAGTACCGCATTTGTATGCTTGATATGTATCTACCTTGAACTATTTATTGACTGTCCAGAATGCCTTGAGGCGCACAATGGAAACTTACTCCAAAGTCACCAGATTCGTTTTCATCTGTAATTACATAAGCAGGTAATTTTGTCTCAATGGCCTTTTTCTTCTTTTCTCATTTGCATCTCCCTTTCAATTGGTCTCCAATTTTCACTCTGGTTATGTTAAATATTGCTTTTTCGTTTATTTTTGTTATGGGAACATGCTCATAGTGAGCTATTTGTTGAACTTTTGTATACTCAAATTCATAACAAAGAACATATCAGTGGAGCTGAGCTATCTGATATTGATCACCCTTATAACTTTGATTTCATGCTCTTTAGGATCATAGAGCCTCTTGCTTCCAGGTGTGCAAAGTTCAGATTTAAACCACTTTCTGAAGAAATCATGACTCACCGTATATTACATATTTGTAATGAAGAAGGTCTCAACCTTGGTGGAGAGGTGTGAACAAATGCTTTAAGGTTCGCCTTGTTGTTTTAGTTTTGTGACAGCTATTTATTATAGTTATTTCCCATTTAGGCTCTTTCAACTTTGAGCTCCATATCACAAGGGGATCTCCGTAGGGCCATCACATACCTGCAGGTAAGATAACTATCTGAGAACGTTTGTTATTGAATGAATTTGACAATAGAAATGTGAATCAGTCTTTCTGCCTGAATATTACAGAGTGGGGCTCGGTTGTTTGGATCAACAATAACTTCTACAGATTTACTCAATGTGTCTGGGGTAAGGATGAGTTAACCAAGTTTTGCATAAGTGTATGGCAAGTTCAACTTAAGTCAGACTTTATGACGGTTAATTTGGCCGTCTTACGAATCTATCAGGTAGTTCCCTTGGAGGTAGTCAATAAACTTTTTGCTGCATGCAAAAGTGGTGATTTCGATATTGCAAACAAGGAAGTGGATGACATAGTTGCTGAAGGATATCCTGCATCTCAAGTCATCAATCAGGTTTTCTCCTTCCCTCTCTTATTTATTTACCCCATATAAAGTAATGCAATTGTGGCTATAACCACTTCTATACAACTCTCTTTCAGCTATTTGATATAGTTGTGGAGGCTGACAATGACATAACAGACATGCAAAAGGCTAAGATCTGCAAATGTTTAGCTGAAACTGATAAGGTAGGACGACTTCCTGTAATGATTTTCCTTACATGCGTCTCTTTTATGGAGTTAGTTTTAAGACTTAAGTGAGATCAATATGACTGTAGATATGTTGCAATCTTGCTAAATCAATGTGCCTCAAATGGTTATTAAATATCTCATATCTTTTCTTTTTAATGTATCCAGCGACTTGTAGATGGGGCGGATGAGTACTTGCAGCTTCTTGATGTGGCAAGCAATACAATTTGTGCCCTCTCAGAAATGGCTCAAGACTTCTAAAGCAAACACATGAAGCTCTGTCTGCATTTGGATTTTGTTTTGATAAAAGTTGGAGCGTTATGACCTTTTTATGGTTATTAGTTATTACTCGTATGTGTTGCTGCAGAGATATTGTTTTAAGAGATCTGTTAGATGTATTTTATGGCATCAAATTACAGAATCTGTTGACAACTTTTTTTGGGTAAAATCGTTTCATACATCATTATTACAGTATGAAAGACGTTATAGGATCAATATAATTAACATCTTAATCAATAAAATCATTACCATTTTATAGTAAAATTTTCACTTAATATGTAAACATATGTAATAACAGAAACTGAATGTGATAGGGGATAGTGTACGTAGTACTACTGTTGTTGGACATATATAATCTCCAACTTGATCGTTAACTTTGTATTCAGACAGCCTTGTCAAGGATGAACATGTTGTGTATGCAAAAGATTTATGCATTCTTTCACAACAGAAACATTCAATTGCAAGGAAGTTTTGAGAAAGCTTGATAGACATAAGACATTGTTATTGTTGTAAGAAAGATTTATTGAAACTTATGTCTTCTGTTGTATTGATTAATGTATCCATCTCTTTGATATTGGCCATATACTGTGAAGAAGTTTCTATCCAACAAGAAATGTAAGCAATGATTGATGTCTTGAGTAAAAAAAATGTTCGAATGTGTTGCTTTACTGGTTTACTAGTAAAGATATGAAATCCCAAAATATAGAAACAAATATAGTATAGATTTTGAATAATATTTGTTTCTATACCCCTTAATAGTCAGATTAGTCAAAATCCTCCGAAAATGCAAAAAAATACAAGTGTATTAGTTACCAAGATTCTCCACAACCACATAAAAAGAAGGTTCGGATATACACATCCAAATGTATGGAAAAACATTAGTAATGTTGCCATAAATAAAAAATAAATGCTGTCAAACAACACACAAATTCGTTGAATCTTTTATAAACTGTCAAAAAAATCTGGATACGTTCTAAAAATAATTGGTCAAAACTATAAGTAGTGTAATGTTGTTGTTGTTATATGACAATGATGATGCCTTGAAAATTGAAACTAGTCTCGATTCTTTTGTATTGTATCCCAATGGTCGATGGTGACGATTCTTTCAAGAGACCCGGAGCTGTGCCGTTTACGTGGGAGGTCCGACCCGGTGTGCCCAAAACCCGACCCGGTGATGATGATGATGATGATGGTCATCACCCAAGTCTTCTTCAACCTCCCAAAAAACTTGCTCCTCTCAAACTAAAACCATTCCCGCCGTCGAGTTCGTCATCTCCGTCGTCGTCTGAATCCAGAAGCCGGCCCGTTTCTCCCTTCGATCCTCCTTCGTCTTTCAAGCTCGAGTCGCCTTCAGATTCCGACTCTCACTGTTCAGGACCTCCGACTCCATATTTCCGATCTTCTTCCCCTCGAGCCGGTGGTTCTTTTCGCGGGTGTTTTTTCCCGAAGTCATTCTTTGGGTCGAGGAAGAGTAAGAGCGGTGGTGTAAAAAAGACAGGTCAGGAATCATCATCATCACCATCATTGTCGGAGTCTGAGAATTTCTATGAATCGGGAACAACGTTTTCTCTGTCGGAAGATTCAAGGCAGGGATCGGTTTCATCTAGGTGGAGTTCGCCGAAATCGTCATTCTCCTCCTCTCGCCGTGGTTCGCCGCTGAAACGAACTGATTCGGATTTGAGCTCTTACGAGAAAAAAAACATTTTAATGATGACTCATTCTCGTCTCGGTTAGCCATAAAAATTATTGTTTTTTATTATAGAAAATTTAATAATTTTAATAAAAAAGGATTTGAGTTGAGTTTTTCAATTGCGACAACGATAACGAATGTACATTTTTTATAATGTAACTGTCTATATTGTCAGAACGAATATTTGGGGAAGAAAGAGAGACAGAGACAAGACATGAAGATTGGTAACTGTTTAATTCACAACGATGATTTTTGATACTACAAGACACTAACTTAGGACAACACTACTACGGTCTCAACGCCAATTTGACAAAATAACAAGGCAAAATATTTAAATATGGATACTGATAAGCTAAGTAAGCTAAAGAGATTGGTCTCAGTTTAAGCCTAAACCGGACCCTGAGCCTGAACCCGTGGAAGACCTAACCATCGGGTGACTAAACGAGGGTTGGTTGATGGATGATGATGCTGCTCCACCTCCTGGGTTATTAAGTTGGTTGTTGCCAAACATCACATTTGGTGAAGCCGTTGATCCTGCGTTCGTTTGTATTGCATTGAGAGGTAATCTTGGGCCAAACGAGAAGGCTTGTTGCTGTTGATGTTGCTGTTGTTGTTGTTGTTGTCGTGCCATGAACTGCATCTGCGCATGGACTTGCGGGTTGTTGCTGAATCCCGGGATGATGCTTGGTTGAGAAGTTGCTGAAATTTGTTGTTGCTGCTGCTGCAGTAGAGTATTGATGTTGTTACTACCTGTGGATAGAGACATCCCTTGGAGACTACTATTATTAGTCTGTGGAGAGATTCCTCCAGGTGATCCAAATCTTGCTGAGAGCATACGGGCTCGTTCTCCAGCAAATCTCTGACGGGTTTTCTCTACTTGTTCACATTCTTTCATCAACAATGTCTCAATTTCTGCAAACTGCTTTAGCTTCAGCTCCATCCTCTTCAGCTGCGTTTTTTAATGATATCAGCAAGAAACGCTATCGACCAAATAATTAACCAACTATCCAAATTATCATCAGCAACAGGTTTCGGTACTTACCTGGTGATTTACAATATTTGCAGAAAGTCTTTGGATCTCACGTTCTTCATGATCGGCAAACAATTTTGCTTTCGTTGCTGCAGCTGATAGACCGGCTCTAAATGCTACCATAACCTTATCCTGTGGCAGTGGAGTCGTTGGCTCTGCTCCATTTTGGCTCGATGTTTTAAGTGCTCCTGAGTTTTCTTTTACAATTAAAGGATGCAGGTATTGAAGATTAGGTTAAAAGAAAACAGCCGATAATCACTGTGAAGAGAAGAACAAACATGTAACTGCCTTACCATCTTGCTGCTGATTTTCTCCAGCTTCTTTCCCTCGCACTTCCTCGGATTTCATCCTTGATAGATTGAGAAGTTTCAGTATAGTCCATAGTATTTATTAAACTGAATTCACACTACAAAGATCTCTCTAAAATGGATAAGGATAATGGAATACACTAACCTATCATCCTCAGATAAAACCGCAAGGGACTCATGGGCACAGGATGCAGCAACTCGAGGTCCAACAGCTGATGCCAAAAATGCAACCTAAAATGTTTCGGTATCAGATCCTCATAATCCTGTACTTACATCTACTAGAGGACAATTTTTTCACTCAAAACATGCATGCAATTTAGGTCCCAGATCAACCGATTCATGGATCAGATATCTCTAACTGGTGAAATCATAAGGCTAATGAGAAGAGCATATGAAATTTGCAGCAGAAAAAATTCACAAACCAATGCCATAACAGGATTCGGAGACTTCACAAAGGGAAGCTTGATCTCAGTGTCAGAATCTTGCTCCGAATATACTGCATAGGCAAATTGACAATGAGTATGGCATGACAAAGAGCATAACCAAAGCCACTACGTCAGTGCTACAAATAGTTTGAGATAAAGAAAACAAAATCACCAGGTAAATCCCCATTTGAATCTGTTCCTTTGTGGTCATATCCATTTGTAGGGTTTTCCGAATTAGTTACGCCTGGAACCTCAACATTATCCAAAAGACCATCCTCCACAGGTAATCGAAGAAAATGAAGAATGCATTGAGCCTTTGATTTGGAACCAACATGATCTGCAATTTGAACCCAATTTTCATTGTAGAGTTCCACAGCTTCAAGAAGCAAGAGAGTTTCCTGATCAGTCCAATTGTCTCCATCTTGATCGCCATAAAATTTGGATGGATCCACTCTTACAAAGTCAAGACAAGAATGTCCAACAACAAATCTTCCATGGTGAAAACAATCAGAGCATAAGAGTATATCCCCCTGTAAAGTAGAGATGAAGACCCTTTAGTTAGAAGGACTCTAATATCCGAAATTGTAAGCAAATAAGGTTGTGAGTCTATAACATTGCTAGCTGGAATTAATAGATGATGATAGACAAAAAGCAATACGTAAGGGAAAGAAGACTAGGAACCTTCTTTTGCGACTGGAAATACACAGTTGGAAGCGGTTGAGAACAATGGTTGCAATGATTATCACAAAGGTGTTCACGAATTCTGATGTCCAAGTCAGGGATATCACCATCCAAGCTTGACAAGGATGAATAGACTTCAACCCCCTTGTGTCTACAGTTGGGCTTGTCAAATTTGATCAAACTATCAATAGAAGTTAAAGCAGCAGATGGCACGTGGACCTCACCATTTGTATCCTCCCTAACATCCAATACATCTCTAGAGGGTCCGGGATGTGACTGGGCAGTGGCACAGTAATTGATTATTCCCCAGTGATCAAGAAAACGGAATACTCGTGCAAAATCTTCAACGTCAACACCATCTACCAATCCTTGGCAATCAGAAATCGTCAGTGTCTTTTCAGGGTTCTCCACATATTTTGAAACAATGGCGTTCCTGAATTCCATATAACTTTCGGGTGTATGATTTGGCGATTTTCCAGAGAAGAATTGTGGCACCACTTGCCTCTCAAGCCGATCCACTGTGTTTGGTGCAAACCAATCTGTTCAAATGTAACAGCAAAAGTAAAAACAACAAATTTGAGCACTGGGAGCCAAAATACCAGAAATATAATTATACTAAAAGAGGGAAACCAGGATACATCTGAACCAGAACTACAAGAACATAGCCCAAGTAAAAATTTGAGGACATCACTTATATAATCCACTCAAGAAACCTAGGGATACTCAAAGCCAGCAGTTATTCTAATTTTTTAGATAGAAGATGTGTAAAAGTTCTAATACCTCTCCCTTTCCATTACAAAGACCATAAGAAACATCTGATATGAAATGAAGTTGCTTTCAGAGTAATGTAAACAAAGAACAATGCACCAGACAAAAGGAAGATAAGAACTTATACATTTAGAAGCTACGGCCATAAGAACCCTTTGGGATATCTTAAGAAAAGGAGCCGATACTAGTTATCAGGTTAGAGAGAGGCACCAAAATACACAAAGAATTTGTAATAGAGATTAACCCCACGTACGGTTCGGAGGCCGAGCCCCACCCCAGCAGATTCACATGTTGACAAATTTGTGGTTAACCCTTATGACTACTACAATACTAGTACCAACCAGCAAAAGCTGATACTGCATTAAGCCTCACAATTCTAACATAAAGGAGCATTTCAACATAGTCAACACTTCCATGTCTTCAATTTATATGCAAAATAATGAATTGAAGGAGAAGAGAAAACAAAACCTGAATGCATAGGCAAGACATGAACCAGATCCCCAAACCGTTTAACAACTCCTTCTCCTTCCATGATAGGTGGTGGGGAGATAACATAAGCCGAAGTCGTTCCATCACTCCTCTCAAGATCAAGGGACAAAGCATCAGCCGGTACAGTAGACAGCGCTTGCAATTGCCCAAACGAAATATTCTCCAAAGCGGGAAGCAAACCTTGCCCTCTAGTCTCCCCAATCAAACCAGCTCTCTCAGCAGCCACAACAGCCGTTACAGACGCGTGTGGCCGGATCACAACCCGCTTAACCACAGAGGGGAAATCAGAGATTCGCGAACCGGAATCTTCAACTACCTCGCCAATACGGTGTCCCGGATCGGGAGTTACGCCGCCGTTCTGCTGAAGCTCATCGGCATTATCAACATCATCCATTTCTTCGTTGTTGTGGTTGTTGTTCTCTTCGTCTTCTTCCTCAATATCTTCCTCCTCTTGTTTCGGTTTCCTCGCCGCCGATAACCCCCCTCGCTTCCGTCGTTTCCATTTCCCTCTTCTATCTGCGATGGAATTGTAAAAAAGGGTAATTCAATTCATACGGCTCCTCGCAAAAGTAAAATTACCCATAAATACGATCTATATGGGTAAGTCAAATCCCAATTCAAATTCGGATTTTGAGGGAGATAAAAGATGAGAAACTCGTTTCTATATTGCAATTTTACCTTCAGAAGCTGGCATTCTTGTGGACGAAGATGGAGAATAGTGAGGTTTGGTTTCTGTGGAATCAAAGGAAGAACCAAAAGTATAAGAATTGCTTTCTTTGTCTTCTACTCTTCTCTGCTCCAAGTCGCTCTGATTTCTAGCTCGCGAGCAACACAGTAAACCTTTTTCTCGGAATTTATTTCGCCATTGCCTTCTTTGGTCTCTAAATTTATTCATTCTCTACAACGATCTAACCTTCTGTAAGAATAAGAGGGTCGAAAGACGGAGGTTTGACTTCAAAATTCAAGCTTCGTAACCAAACCGATTTCGGTTATAATCAAATTCACTTCGGTTTACAATGATACCGTTCTCTGACGATTTTTCAATTAGGCTTAGCATTACACAAACAAAACCGATAAGATAATACTGACCGTGGATAACTCCAAAATTTTAAACATCTAGTCTAGAATAAAAGATTTTCACTATTGAAATAAATTTACTATTTCATGAAAATGTTATGAAAATGTCATTTTACTGATTTTTTTATATTTTTAAAATATGTAAACGTAGATGATATTGGTTTACATTAACTACTTATAGACTAATTTCTTAAGAAAGTACTAGATAATTAAAGATGTTATGGTATATAAATGTGAAATACAAATATATAATAGAATTAAAATTTACTAAATCTATTAAGTAGAATTTTTATTCAATATAGCATGATCAATATATCATGACGTAGATAATATTGGTTTACATTGCGGCTAATTTGTTAAGAAAATAGTAAAGAATCAATATGTTTTGGTAAGCAAAACAAATGCAAAATATAAGCAATCACGAAAATATTTTAAAAAACCTAAAAAAGTTTAAAATTTAAAAAATAAGAAAATATGTTTACACATATATAGAAATTAAATTGAAAACGTAAAAAAAGAAATAAAAAGACAGATAAAATGGTCGAACTTTTATCTTTGACTTCTAATATGGGTGGGTACTAAGCACCAATGCTTTGAATAAACAAACAATTATGATTAGTATTCAAACAGATAAGATGGTCGAACTTGTAGCTGTACCTAGTAGCCTAGTCGGCTGGTCAAGAATATCAAAACTTGGTTCAATTCTCGTTTGATACTTCAAGTTTCAATTACTTACCCCTAGGCACTAGCCAATATGGTTGTCGTTGCGTTACCGCCTACGAAGACAGGCCAGCACTACTCTTTGCTCAAATGACCAGGAAGATTTCACGTACCACTATGAACTCTACATTGCTGAGAATTTCGAGAACCCAGAACAGCCAGAATAAAGGATAGTCTCTTTCGCCTTTACAACAACCCTACCCCGCATAATTAGAACCTGAGTTGTTGAAACTGCTATGAACTCGAACGAGATCATCTTCGAAGCCCAAACTACCGCACCATCCCGCTTCTGCCTCGTCTGTTTCTTGTCAAAACAGACCTTTTTCATTATATACCATAAGAAATATTGTAAGCAAAATAAAGCCAAATCTAAATAATATTGTCAGCAAAATAAAGCTAAATTGTTTCGAAAGACATCTTATCTAAATGATAGTCTTACTCTTCCGGTTTAGATTAATCGTGAGCACAACTCAATCTCAACTTGAAGACATAATTTACCTTCAGCGCTTGCGCTAGAGAGAACTATTGTGACAACATTGACGCTTTATATTCTTTACGTTTATAGACCACCAAAAGAAGTGGATAAGAGAGATATCATAAAAATAGAACTTGCTTAGAAAGACAGCTCGAATCAATGAACTCCAAAATGTCATTAAAAAAAAAAATGTGAATGTTTTGGCTATGCTGTTATTATTTAGTTTGAGTCCAAAGACCAATGATGTCGCCAAATTTTGGTACTTAACACAAACTAATGAGTAATGAGAATTGCATTGATTGAAGTTCGAGAGAGAGAGATAATTCGATTCTCTTTAGCGTTCATGCAAGAATCACCATCCAATCCGATTTTGGTTTATACTTCGGTTTATAAAATTGGCTTTGGTTTAGATTGATTGAAAGAGATAAAGCCGAAACGATTATTTTATTAAGTTCCAATTGGCTAAACCGGTTTGGTATAATTAATTAGTCGTCCGTAACGCACAAATACTGGTGTGGCGTGCCGTTAACGAGCAACGGCGATGAAGAGACCTCGAGCTACATCTCCGCCGTCGATCTCTGCCACCACGAAACCACCTCTGTCTCCGCCGGTCACACCGATTCTAAAACAGAAGCTACACAGAACAGGAGCACCAAAATGGTTCCCATTAAAACTCACCCACACGGAGCTTACTCTACCGTTAACTTTTCCGACGGGCCAAACATTCCGGTGGAAGCAGACTGGAGTGATTCAATACAGCGGAACGATTGGACCTCACCTCGTTTCTCTCCGCCAGTGTCCAGGAGACGATACAGTTTCTTACTGCGTCCATTGTAGCACTAGCCCTAAATCCGCGGAGCTTGCGCTGCTCGATTTTCTCAATGCTGAGATATCGTTAGCTGAGCTATGGTCTGATTTCTCGAAGAAGGATCCTCGTTTCGGAGAGCTGGCGAAACATCTTCGTGGTGCTCGTGTGCTGAGACAGGATCCGCTTGAGTGCTTAATTCAGTTTTTGTGCTCGTCGAACAATAATATCGCGAGGATTACGAAGATGGTGGATTTCGTCTCGTGTTTAGGATCACATTTGGGTGACGTTGAAGGATTTGAGTTTCATCAGTTCCCATCATTGGACCGTTTATCTAAGGTTTCTGAAGCAGAGCTTAGAAAGGCTGGTTTTGGTTACAGGTGCTTCATCACACTATCTAATTTACTGCCTTTTAATGATTTCATCTACATTACTGGTTGCATCGTATTCAATTAGCCGTTTAGGATTAAGCCGTTGCTTGAAGCTTATACCTTCTGTTTTGTATGTGGCCATATATTCGTAGCATTGAAGCTAATGTTTGTTCTTAGCTAGATGAACATTTTGTGGCTGTTTCTCTGATTGGTTATGATCTCAGTTGCAAACACTGATTTTGGTTCCCATCTTGTGGTGAGCAGAGCCAAATACATAACAGGTACAGTGAATGCTTTGCAATCAAAGCCTGGTGGTGGCAATGAATGGCTTCTTTCTTTACGCAAGTTGGATCTCCAAGAGGCAGTTGCTGCACTGTGTACGTTACCTGGTGTTGGTCCAAAGGTAGCAGCTTGCATAGCTCTGTTTTCTCTTGATCAGCATAGTGCCATTCCCGTTGACACACATGTCTGGAAGGTAACCAAGTTCATTGAATCTGTGGTTTCTTTATACTGTAGTTACTAAATTCAATACATTTTTCGGTGGTGACTAAAGTAGCTTATTTGTTCTGTTATGAGGAATTGATCAGATCGCCACAAATTATCTACTGCCAGACCTTGCTGGTGCAAAACTGACAGCTAAACTCCACGGCCGAGTGGCAGAAGCATTTGTGGATAAATATGGTGAATATGCTGGTTGGGCTCAAACGTTGCTTTTCATCGCCGAGTTACCTGCACAAAAAACTCTCTTGCAGTCGTTTTCCCAGCCGATTAAAAAACTGGACACATCTGCGGAAGATAATGAAACTAGTTGTGGCACTATATAAAGCCAAGACTATGCTCCACCCAAGTGTCAGAAGGAATTTTGCTAGACGTGAGGCTTTCATGATGCGTGAAGAAAATGCAGTTCTCTGGCTGATGCAATATTTGGATCCCTGATTAGTTAGTGTCGCATTGTTGGTTCTTCAGATCACTATTTCCTAGGGAACCCATCCTTGATTTATACTTGTAACTTCTCAATGATATTTCTAAAATTCAAATTGTTTGTTCCTTTTGCAATTCTCTCTATCTCAACGAATCTCAACTTATAAAGTCACACAATCTACGGGATAGTGAAAGTGTGTATCAAACGGGAATTTAGAGCGCCAGTCCAGTTAGAAAAAAACTGAAATCACACAGGCAAGGAGGAGTTGTGTGAAATCGTTTAGTTGACCATTGACCTTAACTATTAATGAACATCTCGACAATATTTAATTAACTTTCCTCAGGAAGCCCAATAAGAAACAGCAGCCTACTTAAATTAGGCCCAAGTTATTATAATGGAGGCGAAAAAGAAGAAGTCCGGCTGGATTTTCCTCCAAGCCACCGTCGTCGACTTTACTTAGTACTCTCTCTCCCCTCCACCTTCCCAGATTTCTCCTCCGTTCGGAAAAGCTCCAAATTATACTCTGAAAACCCTAAGTTTCCGATGTCGGTAAGTTTATCACTCCCAGATTTTTTTCTTAATTTGAATCTCTGGAACCTTAAACTCTAATAGTCTTACGGATCAATGGTTTAATCTCTGATATTTGTGGCTATGCAGATCTTCGAGTACAATGGAAGTGCCGTTGTTGCTATGGTAGGTAAGAACTGCTTCGCCATCGCCAGTGATCGGAGACTCGGTGTCCAGCTACAGACTATCGCCACTGATTTCCAGAGAATCTCTAAGATCCACGATCGTGTCTTCATCGGCCTTTCTGGTCTCGCTACTGATGTTCAAACACTGTAAACTATCGTGCAAGCTTCCACATGTTCCATTTCTGTATGTTGTTTTTACATTTTTGAAGTGAATTGACGAGATTTTCCTCTCGGTTTGTCTTTGATGTTTGAAGGTACCAGCGCCTGGTGTTTCGTCATAAGCTTTACCAGCTTCGTGAAGAGAGAGACATGAAGCCTGAAACTTTCGCAAGTCTCGTCTCAGCCATTCTTTACGAGAAGAGGTCAGTGCGTGTGTTGTTTACTTATGTAGCTGCCTACTTTATCAAGTCGATTCTGGCTATGTCTGATTTGCTTAGTCTGTCTCTGAATCATTGATTTAGAAGGGTAATCAGATTTAGCTGTTTCATTTCAGATTTGGTCCTTACTTATGCCAACCTGTGATTGCTGGCTTGGGAGACGATAACAAACCTTTCATTTGCACGATGGACTCGATTGGAGCCAAGTATGTTCACATCTTTTCTTGGTTAAATCTCCTATTCGTATGCAAGCTTTTCCCTTTTACATCTTGATGTCATTAGCTTGGTTAGTGTGGTCTGTATAGTCCTTGAGCCATATGTTTCGTGGATGTTCTTTCTTGCACTTTTGGGGTTTGTGAATTGTTGGATTTATCTCAGCATCCTATGAGTGGGAAATGATCATGGTTCCTTTTTCCCTTTTTTTTCTTCTTACGATGTTTTGATACATTTCTCTATTTTGTGTTTGTTGCATATAACCTTTTTATTTCTCTTTATTACTTGATTTCACAGGGAACATGTGATAATGATTGTTCTCTTCTAAATGCAGAGAATTGGCTAAAGATTTTGTTGTATCTGGAACTGCTTCAGAATCGCTGTATGGAGCCTGCGAGGCAATGTACAAGCCAGACATGGTTTGTCAACTAGAAACTTTATCATCTGTTGTTTTATTCGCCAATCCTGTCAATGCACTACAGTTATGTGTTGACGTTTATTAGGTTTAAGGTTTAGCGTGACTTTATATTAAATTGGAATGTTGAATTGGATTGAAAATTAGGGTGCATATGCTCGTAGGGATCGAAATAGCTGTTAGTTTCTCTTTGATATCTTCAATTTTCCTTTTGGCATGAGATGTTTAAAGTTTGAACTGATGGGATCTCCTTTCTCTCAAAAAAAGAATTTTGCGCTTAGAATGATTGAGCTTGTTAGCTATATTCCGTTGTATGTAAACCTATGTATTAAAGACTCTTACTTAACAAAAATGGGAATTTCCAGGAAGCTGAGGAATTGTTCGAGACAATATCACAAGCACTTCTCTCATCAGTTGACCGTGATTGTCTGAGTGGTTGGGGAGGACATGTTTACATTGTGTAAGTTCTCATTTCTTTTTTTTTCTTCCCCCACATTTTGTTATCCAAAATTGGTTGTTAAAACGTACTTTCATGGTGATATGTTGTACAGAACACCAACAGAGATTAAGGAGAGGATCCTAAAGGGAAGGATGGATTGATCAGCTTCTTCTATCCAAGATGTTGTTCATTGTTATCCATTTTCTAAGTAGCGTAACCTTCACATCCCCGGCCGGCTTAATCATATGACCGTTCCTTCTCTGAAATTATGGCTTCTGGATGATGTTTGATCTTCCCCTCTTGGATATTTTTATTTCATTTCGTAGAGTTAATGAAGACATAACACTTGTAGTACCCAACTGGTTTCTGCTTTTATTTTATTTTTACAAAAAGAAAAGAACTATATTGAAAAACAGGGGAAAACTGCAAATAAACAGTAACCACCAGATAGGTGACCAAAAAAAAAACAGTAACCTTTAGATCTTAAGCAGTTACAAAGCTCTCTAATACCATCGGCTTGTTATGTCTGTTGAATCTGCCAAGTGATACAGACAAGTATAAGTTATCTAGAAGAATAATCCAAATCGGAAACTTGGTCGTGATGGGTAACGTGATGGACTCGTTCTTCACCGGTTTCTCTCATTCTATCGGAAATTTCTTTGGTTCTCCACTTGACTTTCTATCTGGAAAATCTTGCAGGTAACACCCAAAGCCATCACTTATATATATATATATAGTAGTACACTTTAAAGTTTATTGATTTTGCTTACCGGAAACGCAAACAAATCTTACTTGGAACAGTTCGGTTTGTCCATCACCGTGGGATTTCATATGCTATGTTGAGAACTTCTGCGTGGCTAATCTTGCGAAAGCCGCCTTAGTCTTAATAGTATCCTACTTCTTTCTATTCTTCATTTACATGTTATACAAAGTTGGTTTCTGGCATTGTATCATCCACGGTTTCTGCAGACTCGTATGGGTTTTTGTCTCTTGTTGGTTCTACATTCTTAGCTATTGCTGTAGTTTCTTCTGTTATGATCTGCTACACTCTAAACGTATAAGAAGAAGACGCAGACACCACAGATATGTAGAGGATGATTGTGGTGATAACAGTGATACTGATGATGTACTTGATGATGATGACGGGTCGTTCACATACCATAGATCGAGGCGAGAATGCAGAAAAGATGAACGTCTTAGAAAGTCTCTGAGACCGAGGAGCCATCGTGTTAGAGTAGGTGTGAGGAAAGACCATCGTTCTGACTCAGGTTTGAGCCAACATGCTGATGGTGGTAGTCCGATTCATGGTGTTAAAGTGAGCAGAGAGTCTAAGTTCGCACGCAAGGGTTCAAAACGCAAAACTCGAGTTCACCATGGTCCTCGCAGAGCCTGAAATGAACCATAACTGCTTCAGAATCACTGTATGGAGGCAATGTACAAGCCAAATATGGTTTGTCCACTATCAACTTTATCGTCTATTGATTTATTACCGAATCATGTGTTATTATGATCATTGTTGAATTCAAACGACATGTTTGATCATTTAGCAAATATTTCCAACGGAGATTTAACATCGTTAACTTATTCCGGCAGTCAATTATTTAACGATACTATTTTTAGGCAAAATTAGCATTTATAGGAATTTAACATCGTTAACTTATTCCGGCAGTGTTGATCTGGTAGATAGTTTCTTAAAAAAAAAAAAAAAATTATAAACATGACTGTTTTTTCCCTCTTAATCCAAAAATCTTCTTGGTACCTTGATAATGATTAGGTGAGGGTACTTTCGTTATTTAGTATTAAACTCACATAATTACAAAATAAAGTTGCATGTTTGTATCCTTAGATAAACATCACCAATTTTTAATTTATACTTTCTTATACCAACCAACAATTTTGTTCGGAAAATATTATTATTTTTGGCAGCTCAGCAAAATTATTTAATTTGTTTCTGTCAGTTCATCAAATAATTTAAATTATTTGTCCATGTGATAATAATATGTATTCGCAGAGTAAAAATAAAAATAAAAAACATTTATATGAATTTGTATTGTAACCAATTAGGTAGGAGCAGAACAGTACTTTTAATATCTGAGGTTATTTTCGTCATATTAATTATGGTTTTTTTTTTGGAGGGAGTTGGGAATAAAATAAAAAATCGATACATGACGTGACCTCCATTGATTTCGGCGAACGAGCTTCTTCCCTCTCTCTCCTCTCTCTCTCTCTTTCAACTCTCTCTCTCTCACAGTAACTGTCTCTTGGAACCATTCCTCTTACTGTTATTTCCAAAAAATGTCTGCTGCTAGGTCACAGAGATCATCCACGATCTCGCCGGCTCGTACTCGTAGATCGCCGGCAACTATTCCGACCAGACGGCCGGAAACTCCTTCTTCCTCTCACTTTTCTGCTTCCCCGGCTGCTTCTTCGAGTCCATTGTTACGTTCTAGTCCTAGTCCGTCTACTTCCTCCGCCGCCGCCTCTGGAACGGCTGTTGCTTCCTCGAAACTGAAGGAGAATATTACGGTCACGATTCGGTTTCGTCCTCTCAGGTTAGGTTAAATGCGGGATCCGATTTTTGTCTTTTTACTACTTCAGTTGTTGTAGTGATGTGTTTTGGTTTGGCTATTGACATTTTTTGTTTTTTTTGTTTTTTTTGAAAATTAGTCCACGAGAGGTCAATAATGGAGATGAGATTGCTTGGTATGCAGATGGAGACTACACTATTCGGAATGAGTACAATCCAGCTCTTTGTTATGGCTTTGGTTAGTGACAATGTTTTTACACTTCTTATTCATAAGATTGTTGGACTGTTTAGAGTAATTGTTTGGACTTTGTTTTCGAATTGATTGAGTGTTATTTTGTAGATAGGGTATTTGGTCCACCAACAACTACTCGGCGTGTTTATGATATTGCAGCTCAACAAGTTGTTAGTGGGGCAATGTCTGGGATTAATGGTATGTTTCCATCTTATCTTAGTTGTTTTTTTTTCTAATCTGTTTTAAACACTACTGTTTCTTATGCGTTTGACTAGTTTGATGTTGGGACGGCTTAAAGTTTGGTGCTTTTAAATTCTTTAGCTTTAAAATATGCATCCTTTCCCATGTGCAGGTACGGTGTTTGCTTATGGAGTTACTAGCAGCGGCAAAACTCATACAATGCATGTAAGTTACTATCTAGAGGTTGAACTATGTCTTTATGTCTTTTTCGGAAATCTGCTATTAATGCTACAAGTTGAACATGATTAACTGGACTAGTTATTTACATTATGTATATAGACTGACATGTTATACTTATCATCTTTAGACATTGAGATATAGGATGTCCTTTCCCGTTGTTCTTACTAGGTCTTCAAGTAAGTTCTTATTTAGGTATATTACGAGTTCAAAAGATATCCAAGAAGCTGTTTCTCTTATGCACATCCACTTCTGCGGCATGCACCTTGCCTAATGATATATTTTGCATTTAGGGGGAGCAAAGGTCACCTGGAATCATTCCGTTGGCAGTGAAGGATGTATTTAGCATTATTCAGGAGGTGATAGGTTACTTTATAGTTCTTTTTCCTAAAAAAAGATCTTTCACTCTATTCTTTAGCTAATTATGTTTCAGCTATCCAGACACCAGAACGAGAATTTCTTCTTCGTGTTTCGTATCTAGAGATATACAATGAGGTAGGTTCTAACTCAGTGTTTATCTACATGATCTGCTTGTAGCTTAAATTTCAGTGTACATGGTTTCTGTTGGCAATATTGATATGTCATTTCCTAGAAGCTTAGAAGAATGCTATAGGTTTTAGTCTTCAAATCTGTTTCTGTATTCAACCTACGACAGTGATTATGCTCAAGAATATTTTATAGAAAGAAAATTCCATTTCATGAACTTCAAGAATATGTGATTGTAATCTCATGAACTTCAAAGAGACAGTTGGCTGTTTGTTCTGGCGCAGAACTAGATATTCATTGTCCCATTGATTTCTAGAACAATTACCTGGTGCATGATTTGAGGGTCTTTTGAATTATTCTTACAGGTCATCAATGACTTACTAGATCCAACTGGGCAGAATCTAAGAATACGAGAGGATTCTCAGGTAACTGGTGGATTATGTAGGAGAAACCTGATCACATCCTTATGTGGGGCTTGTGCATTTCATTTATCCAAGCTTCACTTGCATCACAAATTGCAGTATTATTAGTTTATGTTTATGTTGATAGGGCACATATGTTGAAGGTATAAAAGATGAGGTTGTCTTATCCCCTGCTCATGCTCTATCCCTAATAGCATCTGGAGAAGGTATAATATCCTGAATTAAAATACTTGTTCACCTTCAGCATCAGCTCATCTTTCGCTTAACATAGTTTTCATTATTATTCCCCAAATACATTTCTTCATTAACAGTATATACATATCATGTGTTTTAAGGTACTCTTCTAGCAAGTGCTTTTGTTGACTGTATAGTACTATCATATGCTATCAATTGGTCGTATCTTTTCCTTCTCTTTATAAGGCCGTTCCTGTCTTATTTCTGTTTTGTTTGGTCTGTGATTTCACTTTCTCTTTGTTGGATTATTGCAGAACACAGACATGTTGGTTCGAATAATGTCAATCTTTTTAGCAGTCGGAGCCACACAATGTTCACTTTGGTAAGTACTATTGCTTAAAAGTGTATGTTTCTTGTCTCCTCCATCTCATACACATATGCCTTTGACCCTTAGTGATGTTCCTGTACAAATGGGTGCTTTTAAGCTCTTCCCTTAGACTTTATAGTGTGTTTCAGACTATAGAAAGCAGTCCACATGGAAAGGGAGATGACGGCGAAGATGTTACTCTCTCTCAACTGGTAATTATTTGACAGTTCGTACTGATTGTGCTATTGTATATGAAGCCATGTCACACTCGTCGCTGAGAAAAGTACTCAGGTGCCCATCTGTATCTAACACTCTGATTCTTGGTTCGATGCAGCACCTTATTGATCTTGCTGGATCTGAAAGTTCTAAAACTGAAATAACTGGACAGCGAAGGAAAGAGGGCTCTTCCATCAATAAAAGCTTACTCACCCTTGGCACTGTAAGGAAGTTCCTTTTCAGGATAAATACTCTTCTCTATTTAAGCGTGTCTAAACCTATAATCTCCATCTTTAGGTTATATCTAAATTGACAGACTCCAAGGCAGTCCATATCCCCTACAGGGATTCTAAACTTACGCGCCTCTTGCAGTCAACACTTAGTGGTCATGGACGAGTATCAGTAAGTTCGCCAAGCATTTCCCTAATTAAACCAATCTTTCAAGGGCCTGTCAATAATGATTTCTTTTTGAAGTTTCTTAAGGCCAGGTGTGGTTTTTGGTTAATGAATTTTCATTTGATGACTTAGCTCTACTTGTAAGTAAGGGACTGCTGTGTCTCAATATTGGCTTTCTAATCCCTCTAATTTTTCTTACAGCTTATTTGCACCATCACGCCTGCATCCAGCACAAGTGAAGAGACGCACAACACACTAAAATTTGCTCAGAGGTGCAAGCATGTTGAAATCAAAGCTTCACGAAATAAGGTGCGTTTATGTTATATATGTCTCTGAAGTTCCTTAAATTCAATAGAGCTGTCTTCTTGATGTTTCTATTTTTTATTAATATAGATAATGGATGAAAAGTCCCTCATAAAAAAGTATCAGAAAGAAATATCGTGTTTACAAGAGGAACTTACACAACTGAGGCGCGGGGTTTCTATGTCCACGTCTAAGCAAGAAGATTTGGCTGATCGAAAACTTCAGGTTGGTGTATGCAGATGTGAATGATATTATGGCTTTTCTTGTCGTTGCGGCCCAGATTTTATAAAACTCTGAATGAAAATGTCTTCAGCCATGCCTATTATAGCTAATGTAAACATTTGAAGTGATTAATCTTAAATTAAATTTTGCCTTTTAGAATCTGTTGGTTATCTGTGAACTTGAAAATGCATTCGCCTTAAATAGTATGTCTTGCTTTCATTGTGCCCTCTCTCATTGTAGAAGCTGAAATCATGTCAGGTTAAACTTCAGTCAAGGTTGGAGGAGGATGAAGAAGCCAAAGCAGCTCTGATGGGAAGGATCCAGCGATTGACAAAATTAATCTTGGTTTCAACCAAAAGTTCATTCCAAGCTGCTTCTGTAAAACCTGACCATATATGGAGGCATGCTTTTGGAGAGGATGAGGTATGTTAAATCAACGTTGTTTGAAGATTCCATTCCATTTAGGCGGAACACTACTATTTCTGTTTTTAGCCATTACACCATGTGACATTGATGTTTATTAACTTTACACCATGGTTCTTACAGCTAGCATACTTGCCGGATCGAAGACGAGAAAACATGGCTGATGATGGTGCTGCAAGCACAGTTTCTGAACATTTAAAGGAGCCGGGAGATGGAAGTAGTAGTCTGGACGAGATGACAAAGGACAAGAAAAGGAACAAGGGTCGTGGAATGCTTGGCTGGCTAAAACTGAAAGTAGGCTATAATCTTCCTCCCTCTGTTGTATCAAAATTTATAGGTGGAGTTGGTCTTTGTGGACTGATGTTAAGAAGGAAAGAATCCAAACGCATAAAATTTTATTCATCAGAATGTTTCAGCATATACATGACCCATAATGTACATGCTGCAGAAATCTGATGGTGTAGCCGGGACATCGCTGACTGATGGTAACCAGAGCCAAGCAAATGGATCTCCTTCATCGTCCTCTAAGTGTGCACAAACAAAAGCAACAAGAAGAGAAAATGCAGCAGCTATCAAGTCTTTTCCTGTTGCGGGAGACTTATTCAGTGCTAGTGTTGAACCAGGAGACCCTTCTCTGGTAAGAGAAATATTTTTCCACAGTTTTCTTGTTGCTTCCGTGATTACACTTGAGAGAGTAGTGATGTCTTGATCGTTATTCGTTGAACACCGTATCTTGTGCACCACTGTTCCTAGTTTTTTAAGTGGTCATTTGTGTACCTTGTACTGACATGTAACCAGAAAAATGACATACGACAGACTGGAACTACTATTGCGGATCAAATGGATCTTCTTCACGAGCAGACAAAAATACTTGTTGGAGAAGTAGCATTGCGTACCAGTTCAGTAAATCGGCTTTACGAACAATCTGTTCGCAACCCTGAGGATTTGCATATCAGAGTGAGCTTTTTGTGTGATCTTGCTTAACAATGCCAAAATAATTATAGCAAATAACTCTAGTGCTTCTTTCATGTTTGCATTGTTGACTGCAGGATCAAATACAGAAATTAGAAGATGAAATCATCGACAAGAAGGATCAAATACGTGTTCTCGAGCAACGAATTATTGAGATTTTCGGAAGGACTCCCTATGCGGCAGATTCTCTCGGAATGTCCCAGGTAAAATAACAGATGAAGAACAAAACAAGAGTGTAGATGTATGAATAGTTTCATTCAGGATTATCTTCTTGTATGAAGTCATTTTTATACACTTCTTGGATAATATTCTTGTGTTTGCTTGATATAGGTTCTATCGAAGCTCACAATGCAACTAAATGAGAAAATCTTTGAACATGAGGTACTCATCCTTTTTTCTCTGCTCTCAGTACTTCTCATTCTTAGTTTTGTTTAATGACTGACTCAGTGATTATGTTGTCGTTATGAATTGGCTCTTTCTAGATAAAGTCTGCAGACAATAGGATTCTGCAGGAGCAGTTGCAGATGACTGTAAGTTAAAACTCCATAATGGTTCTATTTTTTCAAAGTTCGAACACTTTGAGATATCACCAGTTTGAAGTTCATTATTACCCTAATATGCACAGAAATCAGAGAACGCTGAGATGCAAGAGACAATCATCCTACTTAGACAACAACTAGATTCGTTAGCCGAGAGACAATCAACTTATACACAGCAAAACATAGGAGACGAATCATCAGGAAAGAATACTCAAAACAGAAACGGTGAGGAGTCAGAAGTCTACTCTGGAGCAGGAACACCGACCAGCGTGATGAGCTTAAACAGAGTATTTGCTCAGGAAGAGACTAGAGAGATCAACAACGAAACAACTCTCAACACTCAGGTAACTTTCCCATACAAAATTTGCTCCTTCCTCAACATACTGAGTCATAGTGATAAAACATTTTTGGGGGTATTTTTTTACATCACTAGGAATTGGAAATAGAGAATCTGAAGAAAGAGAAGATGCGATTGATAGAGGAAAAAGATGAGCTTGGTAAACTTAATAAGAAACTCACTGAAGAAGCTTCTTATGCTAAAGAATTAGCATCTGCCGCAGCAGTAGAACTCCAAAATTTAGCTGAAGAAGTTACTAGACTCTGCAATGAAAACGCGAAGCTCACCAGGTGAGAAAAATAACAGGTCTCTCTGAAGTTGTGCGGAGGCACCAGCTTCATGATAATACTGCATAGTGAATCATCATTAGCCTATCACGCAAATCTCAGACTACTTGAAAGGTGATGATGATGATGATGCATCAAAGGGAACAACAAAGTTCTTGGAGATCATGATGCTTCCAAAGGCAAAGGGATACAATCTAGAAACATAGGTTTGTGTTGCTTCGATAGTATTTTGATTCTAACTTTCTGATGACAAACACATGATGTAAATATCCTCACAATTTTGTTCTTTTTTATTTTAATTTTTTGTTCTTAGTGACCACTATTTTTGTATGTTCTTAGGTTGAAACGACGATGTTGCAACAAGTTTCATAGTTAAAATTTTCAGCTTAACTTTACTTGGTTATATGTAAATATAATTTGATATTTGAAATTGGCATAAACAAATTAAGAAGAAGATCTCAAATCCTATACACAGTAGTCTGCAATGTAGTTTGAAGTGTTTTTGGTCAATGTCTCATTAAAGTTTGCAAGGACGATAAAGGTTTATAAGAAAGGGAAAGAAGCATATATAGGAATGATGGTAATGGAGATGTAAAGCATGATGATGTTGTTCGTGAAAAGAGAGAGAGAGAGGTACTAGAAATAGATCTTTAAATTCCATAATCCAAAAATCCTAAAGTACACTTACAAGTTACAACACCTCTTCAGGCTTTTTCTTTTTATTCCACACAACCACTACAAAGAATTTATAAAATCTATTTTTCACATATTTGTTGTTCTTTATAACAAAGTAATTTTCTTTTCTATAATGTTATTCCTGCAACTTGAAAACGGTCGTTACTCGTATTCACCTAATTAAACAGTCACATAAATTGTGTCTTTTTTGTTTAGGTTAATGCTAAAACGACATTTGGCTAGAAATCGTAGTAGGCTAGATCTGCGTACGCATTTAAAAATAAGAAATTCAATAACGTCAAAGACAGTATTAATTAGTCCAGAGAATTTTATAATTCTCGAAGTCACATTATCATGAAACGCGGCTGTCTTCATGGCCTCGTAGGTGTTTTTTACATCACCAAGACGTCTATATATTATACTTTTCCTTTTAAAAACAAAAATGAATTGTGTAAAATAGTTGTTGAGCTTTGCATTACAAAGATTCAAGATTCCCATCTTATGGATGATGAGAAAGTGCTTGAAAATTAATTTGTCCCGATTGATTGATTAGGTTAACCGCTGTTGTACTTGATAACATATCGACGTTGTTATGTTAGGTCATTTTAAGGAAGCTTTCAATGCCACGTGCGATGTGGACGTGCTTTGTGTGTTTATTATCTTGTCTTGCCTGTATATTTTTCTACGAGATTAACTAAATTGTTGACAATAATATATCTTCATTATTAAGTAATTCGTGCTCTTATTGGAATCTTCATTAGGTGGATTTTTCTTTTCTATAGGTATCTAGTGACGGTCAAGAGCAAACAAGCAAAAGAAAATGCAACACTACGGCACTAACTAAGTCACTTAGAGCATCACCACTCGAGTAACCTACAAAAAAAATGTTTATGATTAAATTAATTATAAAATTAAATGAAAATAATAGAATAGCTGTATAGGGTACTTATGTTACAAATAGAGAAAAGAGGATCGATTCTTCAATTGCCTATAGAAGTATCGATTCTTTTAATTGTGGGCCCTTTTTTAGTTTTTTATTTTATTTTTGCTTTACAAAATCAATTAGTACCTGTATAAAGATTGCCAGTGGAGATGGCCTTATAACTATTATAATTTCTTTTTATGTAAACAATCGATGAACTCAAAATTAGTGAAACAATCGATCAGTTTTCTGTATAGAAAATTATTGGTTATCCAACTCGTACTAACCACAAAACGTACTATATATATATATATAATACTTTATATACTTAAATCGGATATTGGTAATGAGTGAGAGAATCGATCATTGGTTTGACATAATAATTATAAAAATTGTTATGCATAGATACAAGCTGAAATCCCATATATATATAAAGACGACGTCAACCTTTGAATTAGGTCGATCGGGTTACTATCTAATTAAGAAATCTAGTAAACTAATTCATTGTGTTCCCACACCAATGGAGCTTAGTTTTGCCATGAAGATGGAATAGTCGTTTTCAGTGTTTTTTCTCTTTTTTTTTTTTTTTTTTTCTTTTCCAAATTTTTTGAATTAAAAAAAAAAAAAGAATGTAACCAATCGCGGGCCGCCACGTTTTAGTGGGGCCCGCGATTTCTGAAAAAAAAGAAAACGGAACCGTCCCGTTTTTGTTTTTGTTGTCGACCCACCTTTTTTTTTTTCTTTTTGATTTAATTTTTTTAGAAAAAACAGAAGGACGAAGGGGGATACGCTAATGCCCTTGGTCTTATTATTCTCATTTTTTTTTGGTTTATAGTGATATATAAAAATTGTAATGGAGAGTGTATACTTTTGGTTACGAAATATCCCAAAAAAGTCAAAGAGGGTGGGGGCTAAGTTAGGACAAATGATGACGCATCAAGTTGGAAAAACCTATGGTGAGCCCAAACCATTGATTTACAAACTCATTCTTCCATTTTAGGGTCTCAATATGTGATCATGATCATATACTCTCTCGTACGTTCTCGATTGATTTATGAAGTTCCTTTTATTATGTAGAAGGATTATGTCAGCAAATATATATATATATATATATAGGTCAAATATATACCGCGAGGAATTATAATTAGTATTCTATTAGGGGACTACTAGTTAACGTAAACAAGAAAAAAAGAATGTGGAGTTACCTTTTCTATTCTATTTCTATCTTGTCTACGTCTTATCTCCGAGCAGCTCACCATATCTTTGGACAAGTATTATGTAACAACAAGTCAACAACCCATTAAGAATTTTAAGATTTTCACAAGTAATTAATATCATTACTTCATTAGTTACCTAATCTGACTTTATTGCACATGACGTATGATTCTCCATCTCCACCAGTGTACTTGTAAGAGTTTTGTCTTTTGGACACATATGTATTAATAAATTTAAGTACACATGCATATGACTAAACATAACACACAAAAAGATACAAAAATTATATAGATTGCAACCATTTAAAAGAATGTGTTACATAATTATTTCTACTAGATGTACGTTATCATTCGTTAATTATCACACCGTATTTTTTACCCTTTTTATTAATACAACTCTTGGGAGATGCTATAGCAATATTTTAATCACCGTAAGAATATTACCAATTTTGACTCGGCAAACATTCATGTTAACATTTAAAAAACAAACAAAGATCATTAGGGAATCCTCTAACATGTATATATTTACGTTGAAAACTATATAATAACAAGTTGTAAACATTGATAATGATGAGAGGAGTAGGGGTTACATGCATAAATTAGTAAAGATAAGGTAATTAAATAGATCCCTAATTATTAAAACCTAACTCTATAGTTTTGCCTTTTTTGGTTTTTGTTTTGCCTTTTTCTTGATAACCATACCTGGTGTTGCTTTTTCTTTCTTCGCCTCTCTCTAATATGTGCTTTTAAGATGCGCGTTTGATTATGATGTCCATCTTTGCATGCCAAATATTATCGGTGGCCAATTCTCTCTTGCTAGCTAGCTAGGTTCCGTACGGTTTGTAAGAGTCAATATATTAAGTTACAGTAACGTGGCGTGACTACTCGTGTTTGAGAGGAAATGCAATTAGAGACAATAGTGTTTCATTAAGGTAAATTAAAATCAAAATAACATTAAATTCAACGGGGAAAATATCCAACTCAACAAGATTACACTAATTCTACAGAGTTAATTTTAACATATAGTTAGTGTGCATTGAACTAGTAGAGAAACGTACAATAAAAGATTTTATAGTTAATCAAATAATCTTGTAGGTTTGTAAACGGTTGATACTTTACCAAAAGAAAAAAAAATCTGGTCCAACTTATATGGGTGAACAAAGGGTTGAACCAACTCCATGACAACTTCTCTTACAACAATTCTTTAAAAATTGAAAGATACACAAGAAGATAATCTATGGAAAATGAACTTTATATATATATATATATATATATATAAATATATATGAGTTTTGAGAGTTTTATATATGGGAAAAGTACAAAAATTCAAAATTTGAAAATTAATAATATTTGAGAGAACAGAGAAGAGAACATATATAGGTCCAAAATAGACCCAAAAAAAAAGAGGAAGAGAATTATGTCATATGGACCATACAATTTTTTATTTTGTTTCAAACACTGGGGAAGAAGAAATTTAACAAAAAAAAAATAAAAAAAAGTTAGAGGATTTGGCAATACATAATTACAAATGTGGAAGATCCATTTTATGATGGCAGGAAATAATAGAATAGACAGTTAAAAAAAGGAATAGGTGCATGAAAGCATCAGTAAACAAAACACTACACTAACAATAAAATCTTGTGATTTGGGACGAGAAGGAGCCATCAGCCCCATGCGAACCGGATATGTTATGAGCAGCACGTGAGACCCCCGGATTTGGCAGCACGTGACTGGCACACTTTCCTAGTGGCATGTCTCTGCTTTTCTTTTTAATTTTTTTTTTACTCGTAACTCTTTTAAAGGCCTCTCTCACTCTAAAAGTCTAGTCTCTTCTTCTCTACTTCGTAGTAACATGTTCATGTTTCCTGCATTGCTATATTCTTTTATTAGTTGTTTTTTTCATAACAGCATCGAAGCTCTCCCCATTTTCATCCACTTAACAAAATAGTAAAAAATTGAGCTCCTCCCAGATTTGGACTGAAAAACTTTATAATTATTATTTCTCAGTGTCCATAATGTATTATGTGTAAAGTAGTGTAATCTACTACAAAAGTGTACTAGTCTCTTTTGCAGTAACAATTAACAAAAAGTGTATATCACATACTATAATGTTACTTTTTTTAAGCTGTCTACTTATTGTATTTTAATTACAATTTGTGTTTCGCTTAATAATACTAAAAAAGATTCAAAAAAATAAAAAAACCTGTCAATTCATAACATTTCTACCAACCAAACTGGTGACACTTTTTACTGTTTACTGAGTAGTAGTTATTATTTTAAAGGTACCATATACATAGGGGCTTCAACCTTTATTTTTCTTTCTTCTCTTTTTTTTTTTTTTTTTTATCGAAACTCGTTAAAGAGTGAAAAGATAAAAGTAAAAGTACAGTGCAAAAGGGTAAACAAGTGGAGAAAAGTAATAAGACACGGCCTTAATCTCCTCTTCCGTCGTTTCTCCTCTGTCTCTCTTTCCCGGAAAATTTTATATTTACTCCAATTTTCTCAGAAATTGAAGGAAAAAAAAAAACCAAAATTTGGCCTTTGTTTAGTTTTCTTCATTTTACATTTGATCCTCGGCTATCTCACTATCTTCTTCCCCATTTCCAAGTTGCATTTAAGTTTTGCCCAAATCCCTAGCTTTCTTACACACATCCCTATCCGTTAAATTTCGTAGAGATCGATATTAATTGCAACAAGACGAATCCTTTTCATTTTTATTTTGTTTGTTTTAAATTTAATTTATATAAGTAAAAAATAAAGAAACTAAACCCCATAAAAATTTTGCTGCTTTCTGTCTGTCTCTCTCCTCTCTGATCCCTGTCTGCTACGGTCACGTTTAAAGAAATAAAATTTCAGCAAACCCCATGGATTCTTCTGTCTCTCCTCTCTCTTTGTCACTCTCTCGCATGCACGACCTCTCTCCTCTTCTCCTCCTTCGTTTTTTCCCTCCCACTCCCTCCTCCTTCACCACTTCATCTAATTAAAACTTTCAAATTTTCCCCCACACTCTGTTTTATCTTGTCTCTGTTTCTCCTAGATTTCGATTTTTTCTTTTCCTCTTTTCTGGGAAAGCAATGGTCTTAGCATGAGCCTTGAAACAGCATTTGGAGTAGTTAGTTGTGTTGACGAGGACAAAGTTTGGTTTTTTCACATATGGGTTGCGGAGCATCCAAAGTAGATGATCAACCACTTGTGATCCTCTGTAGAGAGAGGAAACAACTTATCAAAGCTGCTTCTCACCATCGTTGTGCTTTAGCCGCTGCTCATCTCGCTTACTTCCAATCTCTCTGCGACGTTGGTGACTCCATTAAACGCTTCGTAGACGAAGAGCTCGTCGTCGTTGGTACTTCTTCTTCTTCTGCCCCTGGTTCGCCTGTTCTTACGCTTCCCTCTGACGAAGGTAAGCCTCATAATAAACATAAGATCTCGTCTTCTTCTACTTCGGTTTCGCATTCGGTTATTGAAGACGAAGACGAAGTAGAAGATCAGCATTTGCATTTATCATCTGGATCCGAGTTAGATTCAGGATCCGAATCTGGATCTGACGACTCATTAGGTCACATTCACATTGAAACTAGCCCTCAAGTGAAGCAGAAAGAAGCACCATTACCGGAAAATTACCAATCCGGTTATCAACCCGGTTATCAGTCTGGTTTTACACCCGGCTATCAATATCAACCGGGTTATCCACCGGGATACCAGTACCCTGCTGAAGGATGGGGGTATATGGGAGAGAACCCGAATCAACACCAGTACCCGTACCCGAACCCGAATCCGGGAATGTATTTTATGAAGAGGTCTGCGCCACCGTCTCGGCCTGTAGTGTTTCAGCCGGACAACCATAGAGTGGAGAATGGGCAATGGTTACCGGAGAATGGAGTTGGGTACGCGAATTATTTTCCCGGAAATGCTAATACTGGTTATTTTGGTTACCCAGAGCAACGTAGAGAGCCACCGTCTCCGGTAAGGCCACCTCCAGCGCCTCCGTCTCCGCCTAGGATTTCCAGTTGGGATTTTTTGAATGTGTTTGATACTTATGATTATATTAGAGCTGGTGCTGGTGAAAGTTCCGGTGCCGGAGCTGGGTTTTCTTCGGGCATGGTTGGAGTTAAGTCAAGTTCAAGCAGTCCTGATTCAAGGGAAGTGAGAGAGAGGGAAGGGATTCCTGATTTGGAAGAAGAAACAGAGCAAGAAGTTATCATTGGGCAAACATTTAAACATACCAAGAGAAAAGGTATTGAGAAGGTGAAAGAACAGAGACAGGGGAAGGAACCTGGGAATTGGTCACAACGAGAGGAGATTCACGAGAGAAAAATCAAGAAACGAGTAGATTCAGGGGAAGGAACATCAAGGGAAGTACCTATGGTAGAAAGGGCCACAGAGAGTTCTTTTGGTTCAAAGACAGTGTCTTCGTTTACGAGCAGTGAAGAAGAATCTGAGTTTCACCATGTTAATGACGGAGAAGGAAAGAGTAGTAGTAATGATTTAAGCGGGCACGAGACTGTTGCTACCAAGAGCGTTGGAGAAGTAGAAGAAGAATATGTGAGGAAGAAAGGAGTCAGCTTTGAGTTGGAGGAAAATGCTACCACTTCTTTTGATGTTGAATCTTCCAAAATAAGTAGTCTGTCTACTTTGTCGGTTCATGCTACTAGAGATCTCAGAGAAGTTGTGAAGGAGATCAAGAGTGAGTTTGAGGTTGCTTCTTCACATGGGAAGGAAGTGGCTGTGTTGCTTGAAGTTAGCAAGTTGCCCTATCAGCAGAAAAGCTCTGGGCTTAAAGGTAATGTTGTTACATGTTCTGTTTGTATCTGAGATTGGCTCATTGATTGCATAAATTGAATTTCCAGAGATTTTGCTGCGTTTTGAAAAAATCATGCATTGAAAACCGGGAGATCAGTCTTGTTACATTCAGCAATGATCAATGCATTTCTGCATATGATTTGCAGTTAGGTTAGAGGTATTGCTTTACAACTGTGCCTTTTTAGTAGTACTTTGGGTCTCTTCATGCAGTAGAAACATACGTATACTCTGATAGCAATATTACTAGACTGTAGTTTCTTCACTCTACTTTGGATGTCTTCATGCAGGAGAGAGCTTTTCTTGCTTTTGATTGAACTGTTATAGGGTCTTTTTTTTTTTCTGATGAGCTTCTAGATTATGAACCATATATTTGATTTGCATCATTTGAGTCCTACCTTGTTCCTTTTTCCAATGATATTTACTTTTTTTCCTCTTTAGTTATCTTTTCGCGGATCATGTATTTGGTAGCGCCATCCACAGTGTCATCACGTTCTCAGCCTCAACCTTCAATACAGTTAACATCTAGGATCTTGAAAATTGCAAAATCATACAATGGTCAGGATGTTAGAGAAGGCTTATCTGGAAATCTCTCATCAACCTTGGAGCAAATCTATGCATGGGAAAAGAAACTGTATAAAGAAGTCAAGGTATCTATGCTTGATTCCAAATTGGATAATTGTCTCTTTAGATCGGAGCATCTTTTGACAGATTCAGTTGGTTGTTGATGGCAGGATGAAGAGAAGCTTCGTGTTATCTATGAAGAAAAGTGCCGAACACTGAAAAAACTGGATAGTCTTGGTGCAGAATCTAGCAAGATTGATACTACTCGAGCAGCCATTAGAAAGCTGCTAACCAAACTCGACGTCTGTATAAGATCTGTTGATTCCATTTCCAGCAGGATACATAAACTGAGGGACGAAGAATTACAGCCGCAACTCACACAATTGATTCACGGGTATAATCTCAATTCTAATACTATTCCTACGTTTATATATTTTCGTTTGTGTAATCCGATACTTTGGAACTGAAGGTTGATAAGAATGTGGAGATCAATGCTCAAGTGCCACCAGAAGCAGTTCCAGGCAATTATGGAGAGCAAGGTTCGATCACTCAGGGCAAACACCGGCTTACAAAGAGACTCCGGTCTGAAAGCTATTCTTGATCTGGAGATGGAGCTACGAGAATGGTGCATTAGCTTCAACGATTGGGTCAACACTCAGAAATCATATGTGGAGTCTCTAAATGGGTGGCTCTCAAGATGTCTTCACTATGAACCTGAATCAACAGAGGATGGAATTGCTCCTTTCTCTCCTAGCCGTGTTGGAGCTCCACAGGTTTTTGTCATATGCAAAGACTGGCAAGAAGCAATGGCGAGAATCTCTGGAGAGAATGTTACAAGTGCGATGCAAGGCTTTGCCTCGAGCCTACATGAACTATGGGAGAGACAAGATGAGGAGCAAAGACAGAGAGTGAAAGCAGAGTATGTGTCACATGATTTTGAGAAAAGATTGAATGATCTAAGGATGGAGAGGGCGAGAGCAAGAATGAGAAACGAACAGCTTCAGGACGGTGCATCAGAGAAAAGCGTAGTCTTGTCTGAGAGCGGCATATCGGCGTTAGATGATTTGAAGGTGGATTTGGATTCAATGAGGAAGAAGCTAGAAGAAGAGAGAGCAAGGCACAAGGAAACCATAAAACTTGTGAACAATGCAGCTTCAAGCAGCTTACAAGCTGGACTAGTCCCAATCTTTGAGGCCTTGGGAAATTTCACTTCACAAGTAGTGAAAGCTCATGAAGATGTTAGGTTTCAACAACAACAACAGCCTCAAGACTCTGAAGATTGATTTTGGACGCAATTAAAAAGTTTTGGTGATGAAAATTAGATTCGGTTTAGGAAAAATTGTTGTACATATTTTCCATTAATATATTCATTGATTCTTAGTCTTTATTCTATTCAAGGTCTCAGATCTTTAAATTAATTCAACGTCTGACTAACCTTATTATAAAGTTATCAATAAGAGATATATGAGAATAATCATAATCAAACAAAGCTATAATAATGACAAGAAACCAAAACTAATTGGTCAGATTTAAAATATGTTTTGTTTATTTGACCTGACCATATACTTGCACGAAGTCACGGACCTGAGATCTCATTTGATTCAAGATCAACGAAAGAGAAGATGCCACGTTGTATGTCACTATCGTGACGCTTGTACACTGATGTGGAACATTGTGACTAGTGTATCTTCGGTGTAGACAATTTTATCTCCTTTTCGTGTATTCTTATTAAATGGGTAAAATAACAAAATCATATTAAAACCGCCAAGGTTAAATATTATCCAAGACACTGTGTAACAACAATTAAATTCTTGCCAAATCCCTATAAACTATGACGACGTAAACTCCAATCAGAGACTGCCACGTGGATTATGTGACCATTTAGGAGCAATTCAGTTTTCGTGTCCTGCAGTGATAAATATCTCCCCCCAGAGTTTTCCCGGAGAGCTCACACAGAGAATTCGAAGCTAACATTGTTAGATAGAGGTAGCGATAATGGCGATGAGAGGATACGCGTTGTTATCGATCCTTGTGTTGTCGCTGCTGGCTTCGTCTATTAGAGGCGAAGAGACGGAGACGACGAAGGAGTTCGTGTTGACTTTGGATCACACTAACTTCACCGATACAATCAACAAGCACGATTTCATCGTCGTCGAGTTCTACGCCCCATGGTATTAATTACTTTAGAGTGTGTGAATAATTTAACCTTTCTGTTAGTAGTACTCCTTAGATTAATGTTGAAATGATGGGGTTTTGTGTTGTGTGATTCATGAATGTGGTGTGGATGTGGATCTCCTTTTGTTTTCG